TACTGAGGGAAAATAGAAGAGAGGTAAGAGGGAGGAAGGTAGAGAGAGAGAGAGAGAGAGAGAGAGAGAGAGAGAGAGAGGAGAGAGAGAGAGAGAGAGAGAGAGAGAGAGAGAGAGGAGAGAGAGAGAGAGAGAGAGAGAGAGAGAGAGAGAGAGAGAGAGAGAGAGAGAGAGAGAGAGAGAGAGAGAGAGAGAGTTGGAAAGATTGCCTAATATATCTAGCTTCCACATCTAAGAACTCTTGTTTCATTGTCTTTAACAATCAATCTTCAACTTTGTCGATACCTTTCGGTGCCTTTCGATACCCATATTATATATATATATATATATATATATATATATATATATATATATATATATATATATATATATATATATATATATATATATACTTTCAACTTAGCAGTTTCCACTACTTTGAATAATCTTAAGTTCAACATACAACTTGTATATGCACTTACAATAAACATCCAGCATTTTTGACAAAAATATCTTACGAAATTTTGCAGACTTTTGAAATAAAGACATAAATACATTTTTGATATTAATCTTTCACATGTAATTAATTTTTTTTATGATGATCTAATTCCATGGATTTTATTCTCCCTGTGTCATGAAAAGGAAGACAAATATTTGCGACCCCCTTCTCATTTAATTCATTATCTAGCGCGAAAACATGTCATTTGGGTCTAATAAGCGGAATCTATTATTCATTCCTACTGTATCAAAATTCATTGTTTACTTGGCAACTCAGGCTAAGTATGATGTTAAATGTCGCCATCTAGAAAGATTCTGGTGACAGTAGCATCACCGTCGTGGAGCTGGGAGAGAAAATAATGCATGTTTGAGTATGAATATATGCATGTACGTATGCATGAAATTACATATGTGTGTGTTTGAATATACGTATGCACGAATGTTTGTATGTATAGATGGATGTCTGTATGTATAGTTCGAAGTATACTTGTATAAGTATATTACATTCTGGCAGTCCAGTTTACTGTTTCTATGTCATATTCTCTCTTTGACTTTCTCCTCTAGTTCCAGTCTTTACGACTGATTTAATCTGCTCACAAGTCTCCCTTTCCCTCTGTTCTCTGCTTGATTGATTGTCCTTATCAATTCTGAATTTGAGCTCCTGTTTGATCTTTAGTTTGCTTAACTATATTTCATATTTATGTGCATGCCGCCATATCTAATTGGCAATTTCGTGCTAAAGCTAGCTGGTAGTTTCTTGGTATGGCTAATTGGTAGTTTCTTGGTAAGGCTAATTAGTAGTTTATTGGTATGGGTAATTGGTACTTTCCTGCTGTATCAAGCTGGGATTATCGTTCTATGGCTAATTGGTAGTTTCTAGGTGTTTATGGTTATTTCTGTCTATATGATTCTGTCTAAATTGTCTTTTGCTGTAATATGAGTTACCTTCTATTTGTCGACTTGTATCACTGCCTGTTTGTCTGGGTCAATTTCTTTCTCACTCTGTCTGTATCTCACAATATCTATCTGGGTGTTTAAATGTCTATCTATGTATGTTTCTATGTGGATCTGTGTCCGCGCCGCCAAGCATTGATTCAACACTAAATAGTGACTGCAGTGACCTTCTCGCCAGCTGTGGGGGGGGGGGGAAGGTCAAAGGTCACTTGGCTACTTAATTATTTAATGTTCGGCGCTTTCAGGGGTGATAGTTAGTTGCGCATGTTTGGACAACAATGCAGTTCGTTAGAGCTTCTGCCCTGTGTACTTTGTCCAGTTGATGTGGCTGGCGTCGTTTGTGTGGATGCAGTGGTTGATGTGGTTGATGTGGTTGAAGTGACTGGAGTGGTTAGTGTGGCTAAATTGGTTGGTCTGTCTGGTGTGATTGGTGAAGCTGTAATTGGTTGATGTAATTGGCGTGATGGAGTGGTTGTTGTTCCTTGAAGGGTTTTGCATAGTTGGGTGTTCCGGGAAGTTGGCAAACACAGTAACGAGAGGTTCCTCAAGTTTAAGTATTGTAAAATATCAATAATTTTCAATTTATACGGGTTTCTACGTTATATATTGCCAGGAGTTTATGTCAATTTTATTTTACATAAAGTGAAAACTTGTAGACCTTGCGACCTCCATAACTGAAGGAATTTATACCAAATTTTGCAAGGGATTATGAACTAAACCAGAGCGTCGTAGTTTTACGTAACAAAGTCTTGAATAAGACAACATAAAACTATCTCATCTTCCAATATGACAACATAAAACTAACTCATCTTCTAATATTACAAGATAAAACAACTCATCCTCCAATAAGACCACATAAAAACAACTCATCCTCCACTAAGACCACATAAAAACAACTCATCCTCCATTAAGACAACTTAAAAACGACTCATCCTCCCATAAGACCACATAAAAACAACTCATCCTCCAATAAGCCCACATAAAAACAACTCATCCTCCAATAAGACCACATAAAAACAACTCATCCTCCAATAAGGCCACATAAAAACAACTCATCCTCCAATAAGGCCACATAAAAACAACTCTTCCTCCAATAAGACAACATAAAAACAACTCATCCTCCAATAAGACCACATAAAAACAACTCTTCCTCCAATAAGACCACATAAAAACAACTCATCCTCCAATAAGAGCACATAAAAACAACTCATCCTTCAATAAGCCAACCTAAAATAGTTTATCCTCCAATTGGACATAATACAGCCAAGTATTACGAGGGATTTGTGGGGATTTGTGAGGAATGTGAGAGAGAGAGTTGCTGGATTCCTCAAAATATATTATTTTTGATACCTACCGAGCATTAACAGAAGAGTTAGTAACTCCATACTAACAGAAACAGATGTGATTTACACTGTATCAGTATTATGCATTAACAGTAACGGGTGTACAAATCCACAACGGTCGATATCTGGGTTCAAGGGTTACTAACCCTTGTGGATTTGTTCATTTGATACATCACGTTATTGTGATTTCTGTGTATAGTGTAGTGACGGGTGTATTTACAATACATCCGTTTTTCCCGTTAACATAAACTGTTGTACATACAGTGCATTTTTTGTTTCATTTTTCACTGGCATGGCTAGTTTACACTCCAAAAAGCAATTATTATCATTCATTTCATCAGTTGTAACTCCTGATGCCAACGGATATACGCACAATTCATTATTTTTTACGCAAACAAAAGTTGGTATATACACAGCACTGCATATTAACACAGTAACAAACATCGGGTGAATTCACTGCTATGCATCCGAGAATTATCATTCGTCTCCCTGGAATATATGGGACCAATAAAGGCAGGATGAATTCCAGGTGCGTAATAACACTTCCAATAAAATGGGAATTTGGGCGAGCACCTTGGAGTTCAATAAAAATGTTTGCCTCGAGAAATGTTCTGAGTATTAGTGACTTTAATAAATTTTTATTGCATAATGAATGCTCCATAGTATCATGTTACAAATGTATTTTATGTAAATAAAATTGATTTTGAAAAATTTCCGAAATACGCCGGAATAATAGCTTACAATCCTTTAAGCTATTTAGGATTTCAGTGTCCCATTAGGATGGGAAAGTGAGTATGATGTTGGGTTTTGAGACATGATCATATCCGAATGAAAGATCATGACATGGGTAAAGGATCATGTCAGGGACGAAAGATCATGTTATGAACGACGCATCATGTCATTCTCTGACATGACTATGATCATAAACTAGAAGAAAATATTTTATTATTTGATTACATTAATATAATTTAGTTTTCTCCAAAATAAAAAGAAAAAAAAACACACTCATAGACTGGTTAATGAGGGAAAGTTGTGTCATCGGGTTTAAAACCTTCATTAAAACGCCTTTTACAAAATTGTAAATTAAAACATGTATCCTATTTGATGCAGTAAGTCGTAACCTCATGAAATATATATTATTTAAAATGTACAGTTAATTAAGACTTTTGAGTTAAGTATTCACTCTTTTCCAGTAAAGGTTTCCAGTACTTTATGGCACTTTACAACTTAACACTTAACAACTTAATCTCGTAAATAATACTCTTGCAAATGAATTGCAACTAACAAAATATTCCTCAATAAATGATATGAATCTCTGCATTATTACAAATAAATTAAATAAACGCGCTGTTTTAACTTGTAAACTTCATAGTACATTTTATACGCGACGCAAAAAAGTACATGTAATATTAACTTGAATATTATACTTTTTATTTAAAAAAGTACATATATATATATATAAATTTAAGAGTTTTCAGAAAATAATTTCAGCATCCAAAACCTCGTTAACTATGCAATTAAAAACATAAATAGAATGCTTAATTACTATGTTATAACTAGGAAGTAAGGATTTTTCCCAATCTTTATTGTCCTCTCTCTCTCTTTCTCGCTCTCTCGCTTTCGCTCTCTCGCTTTCGCTCTCTCGCTTTCGCTCTCTCTCTCGCTGTCTCTCTTAGAAACAGAAACTCTCACCTTTCTGTCTCCTCCATCAGAAGCACTTACTATCTCTCCCTCCAACAAAAGCACTCTGTATTTCTCCCAAAAGAAACAACAACTCTCTATCTCCTGCCAACAGAATACTCGCTCTCTAGAATCATATTGACTATGTCCCCACTAACAGAAGCATTCACTCTTTATCTCCTCCATCAGAAGCACCAACTCTTTTTCTCACCCCAACAAAAACACTCTCAATCTGCCCCCCAACACCTGCACTCACTCCAAATCTCTTTCTCTGTCTCTCTCTCTCTCTCTCTCTCTCTCTCTCTCTCTCTCTCTCTCTCTCTTTCTCTCTCTCTCTCTCACTCTCTCTCTCTTTCTCCCTCTTCCTCCCAGCAGAAGCACTCAATATCTCTCACCTATTCCATCAGATACATCAAGATGTCCTCGCCGTATCTCAACAACATGATCATCGTGGGTTGCATCTTGACTTACACCTCAGTCATCCTGCTGGGCTTGGACTCGGAGCTGACGAGTGAGACCAGCTTCCCCTACATCTGTACCGCCAGAGCCTGGGTTCTCATGGCTGGCTTCTCCTTGGCCTTCGGTTCCATGTTCTCCAAGACCTGGCGGGTTCATTCCATCTTCACCGATGTTCAGCTCAATAAGAAGGTGAGATGGGGAAGGAAGAGCCCCCCAGACGTGGATGGATGGGTCGTTGGGTGGGTAGATTTGATGGATGGGTGAGTGGATACGGTGGGATTGATGAAGGGATGAATCAGTGGATGGAGATTGATCGGTGGGGGAATTTATGAATGTCAGTCATTGATTAGGGATAGATGTATGGGTGATTGATGTAGATATATGGATGAACGAGATTGGATATGCGTGGAGTGGAATGGATGGTACTGGATACTGAGAAAAGATGAAAGAACGTATAATATGGAAGATGGTTGGATAGATGGGATAATTAAATAGTGTGGATGAAAGAATTAATTGATGAGGCATGATACAGTTTCTACTATTTTATGTATTTTTTTCTTAACTGCATGTAATTTACTTATTTATGATTAATATTTAGGAGTGTAAATAATATTCCTATAAAATATTTTGTTTCATTGTCGACAGAGAAGAAATATACTCCCCCATTCCATCTCCTACTGTTCCTTTCCACGTCTCTCTACCTCCCAATAACCATCCCCTCTCATACCATTTAGTTTCTTTCTGATGTTCCCTTCCTCTTTCATTCCCCAATACGTTTATTACCAGCATCCCTTATCTGTTGTCTTCCTTTTTCCCTACCTTGTCCTCCCTCCCCTCTCACACCGTTATTTCCCTACGGTCTTCCCCTACATTATGTCCCTTCTCGTTTCCTTTTCTCTGATTTTCTCCCCGCTCACGTCTCCATTATCAACATCCCCCCAACCAATTCCACTCATTCGCTCCCAATTCCATCCTTCCCCTCTCCCAATTCCACCCCTCACTCCTCCCCATTCCGCCCCCTTTACCCGTCTCAACTACACCGTAAACCTCCTCCCCCTCGAAGGTAACAAGGAGGTAAACTTAGGAATATTTATAGGTGAGAGAACTTGAGGTAGAAGCTTGAGAGGACGGTGTTTACAATGTTTCCAAGGCTGTATGTTTGTCCTTTTTGTTATGCTCTTTTGTTTTTTTCCTGTATGGAACGACGGAGGAAAGAACTGAAGAAAATAAACATGGAGAGGGAAGAGAGGAGGAAAGGGATGGAAGGAAGGAGAAAGATAGATAGATCTATTCACTATAGCGTTCAGGTGCCTAAATATATATTTATTTAAACATGAATAATAATTAGAGTTGTCACTGAATTACAGGTAACTCATTACAAAAATACTACAGCTGCGACACGGAGTGACAATGTATTTATATTTATATAACATTATGTATTTAACATATCAAAAGTGTATACATATCGAGCATAGATAGCAAAAAAAAGGCACGAACACAAAGGAGAAATGAAAAAAATGTACTTATGTCAAAAAGTAGTTATATGAAAGGAAAACTTTTCTATAGCGACATTGTTTGATGCCGAGAGAGAGAGAGAGAGAGAGAGAGAGAGAGAGAGAGAGAGAGAGAGAGAGAGAGAGAGAGAGAGAGAGAGAGAGAGAGAGAGAGAGAGAGAGAGAGAAGCGTGGATGAGAAGAGCAACATGTCTTCCCTCAAGCTCTATAAATCATTCACACCGGCGCTGTGCTCACCTTACTAACAGCTTTGTAATGACATGTTTTCACCGGTCTTCCCAACGGTTCCTACTGGTCTACTGTTGCTGCTCCTGCTGCAATTGCTGCTACTGTTGCTTCTTCTGCTGTTACTTTGAATTCTCCTGCTACAGCTGATGCTGTTGCTAGTGCATCTGTTGCAACTACCGCTTCTACTACTCCCCCCCCCCCATATAATCCTGCTGTAGAAGCAATATAATTGAGGCAGTTTGGTTTACCTTACCAATCTCTGTACACTGGTGAGTGTAAACCAGCTCGGCTTTGTGTCGGGGGCGACATGTGAGCATTGTTGCTGGCCGCGGTATACCCTCTGCATGCTGCAACACAGCGAATACCTCCTCCTCCTCCTCCTTATTGCATCACAACATTTGCCATTTGCAGACAATGCACTACTATCGCGGAGCATTATTGTTCTTGTTACGTGCAGCTGCCGTGCCCTCGTGAGGCACGGCAGCTGCACGTGCAGAGACATATACTTCCTCGAAGTTTATGTTTCTGCTGTAGAAGCTCCAGTTTTCTGATCAACAAACTACCTTCAGCATTAGCTTTTATATGTACGAACTACCTATAGCTTTATATTCTCTATGTACAAACTACCAAGAACATTAGTTAACTATGTACATGTAACATAAAGTTCCTTGCTGTTGATAGCTGTCCGAGTCGTAAGAAAATAAGTAGAATTAGAACTGTTGAAGGATTGTTGGTTCATACTCGGTCATCCCTATTTATATCCAACCAAACTCAGTTATATATATATATATATATATATATATATATATATATATATATATATATATATATATATATATATTTCACACCCCCATGTGTGAAATGCATAGTCTTCTTATGGGTATTAATTTAGCTAATAACTGGCTCCATAAACCTACCAACCTATTCCCAGATCAGTATATTCCCGGGTCAACACCTCTAGGGGGGTTATAATTAGCAGCCATGGATGTAACTCATCCGTATCTACGTTTTATTTGCCTGGTAAACCTTTTAGGCGTCTCTAATCATCCGTTTCTCTGGTAATCCAGCATCCATAATGTCGGGAGAATCAGTGTGAAGAGAATCTCATTGAATGGGACGTGTAAGATGGAGGGAGAGAGGGAGGGAGAGAGAGAGGGAGGGAGGAGACTAATTCTTACTCTTATCCACAAGATCACCAACAAAATATAATTAAGAATGATAGCTAATAAACAGAAATGGCAAACCCAAATATTCCCACACGTCTTCATAAAGTACTTGCAAACATACTAAAGTACAGGAAGAAAAAGAAGCAGAAAGAGAGAGAGAGAAACAGAAAATATGATAAAAAGAAAAAGACGAATAATTGAAACAGATTTCCCATTCAAACAATACCACCTTCCTGGAAATTTTTCCCCGTTTTGTCTATTGAGTACGGAAGAAAAATCCATTTTCACCCCCTCCCCCCCAAACAAAAACAACATCCCCCCCCCCTTTTTCTTTACCTCAGCAGTCGTGGATATTCACACCGAGGGCGCTGCTAGCTGATTTGCGTAATTGAAAACGGCACTCGATCCATATCGCGCCTAACTCAATGCGTGTTAAGAGGAGGAATGGGGACGATGGGTGACACATTTACCGGCCCATTTGGCTAATGAAAGCAGATGCGCTTGTCGTGTCTGCTGGCGGGTGTGGGGGCAGACCCTACGACGGGAAGCTCTATACAGATTGTTCGGCGTTCGACTCCTTCTTACCCGACGAGGTGGGGGGCGCATTGAGAAGGGTGAGGGGGGGGGGGTGGGAAGGGGAGGGTGAAGAGGGTTCTGGCGGAAAAGGGAGTAGGTTACTGTAAGGCGAAAGGGATGGAAATATTTGAAGATGGAGGGACGGGTTTAAGAGGCGATGGATAGAGTGTTTGGAGTGAGAGGAGGTTATAGGAAGAGAAAGGGAGGGGGGGGGGGAATATGGTGGAGTGAGGAAATAGGGAGAGAGGTGAAAGGGGGTTAGATAGGGAAAGAAGAAATGATTGTTATATGGTAAGTGGGAGGGAAGATGAGGTGCAGAGAGTGAGAGGGAAGGATGTGATAGGAGAAAAAAGGGGTTTCATAAGGAGCAAAGGGATAGAGGAATAGGCAGAATGAGATGCGAGGTGTTATAAGATCAGAGCGGGGGGAGAGGAGTTTGTAGAGAAATGAGGGAGAGTGGATAGAAAAAGAAAGGTACTTGAATTAGAGAAGTAGAAAGGGATGTTTTGAGGAGCGAGGTGGAGTGTGCAGTTTTGGGGAAGAGCGGTGGATGGTGAAAGGAACCTTTGGAACCAGGATTGAAAGGGTGAGTCTGACATGATTCGGGATTGAAAGGGTGAAGAGGTGCTGGTATTTTAAGTGACAATTCCGGCCATTTGAATATTTTCTCGCAAGTTTTCTATTATTAAAGGAACTATTTTCTCCCATTAAGACGAGTATATGCACACCTATTTGCACTTGCAAGGGGGAGTTTTCAGCTCCTGGGCTCCGCCTTCGGTTCAATCTATTGTCATCCAACACGTCATCTCCTCTAATGCGTCGAATTTTATACACGACTCGGCCAAACCGCTGAAATTCCGACACATTAGTAAAACTTAAAGCACTTTGATATTGATTTTCCTATACATCGAACTCGGTAGGTTAGGTGGGTTGCTTGGGTGTGTACGTTTCTGCCGAGGCAAAACAGTTGCATTTTTTACGGAGTCAGTCTCACTTATGATTGGTCAGTTACGTGTTATAAAAAGCCTAGCTTTTCCTTACTGAAGCCTCTCTCTCACACAGGTGTGTATCTTAGACCACGTCGTGGTACAGGGAGTTAAGGTGAGCGCTTGGAAGTACCCTGGTCGCTGGTTCGAATCCCCTCATTGCTCCAGTGAATTTTCTAATCGTGATCCTGTTTTATCTTTGAGTTTTTATCTTAGATCGGTTAGTGTATTCAGTCGCTTACAGCCAGCCTCTAATTGTCCCTCCGAGTCAATACTATTCAATCTTAATCACTTCCCAGTCAATCCTCTTCAATCTTAATCACTCTCAATTACTTCCTGTCACTCCCAGTCATGCCTTGACACTCCCAGCTGCTGCCAGTCGTTTTTAGCTGCTATCAGTCAATCCTGTTCGCTTACTGCAACTTTCAGCAGTCAACTCTAGTTACTTACAGTACTTGTCACTCATTCCTGGTCAGTCATAGCCACTCAGCCATTTCCAGTCGATTTATGTTGTAAACTCTCAGTAACTTCCAGTCACTTTCAGTCACTCCTGGCCTCTCAAAGTCGTTTTCAGTCGTTCTTAGTTTCATTCCAGTTACTTCCAGTGCCTTCGAGTCAGTCCCGGACCCTTCCAGTCACCATACCAGTCGCTACCAGTCGTTGTCAGTCGTTCCCAGTCGCAGCAAGTTATACCATATCACATCCAAAAAATCGCTGCTGTCGTTCCAAGTAGCCTTCGCAGTCCATCTTTGCTCTGTTTATCTTTCTTATTGTATATGTTTCTCATTGGTTAGGTTTCAAACTGTTTATGTTTCTGACTTTTTATCATCTTCCATTTCTCACTTTCCCCTTCTCTTCCCTTTTATTGTCCACTCTTCAGAGTTCATCACTTCTCCTTGATTTCCCCTTGTTCACTGTTTTATTCCCCCTTTCCAAGTTGGTCCTTCGTTTTCCCCTTTGTCTCTTGCATATTGCCTTTCTCTCCTTGCGTACTCTGTAGTTTCTCTTTCCCCCCTTCTCTATTAATTCGGAAATTCGTAATTTATCGCTATTTTCCTGCTGGAAATTTTATAGAAATTATTTTCCAGTTTCTCTAACACGGTCCAACTCTCAATATGGTTCGCGGACTCTACTGACAAATTTTCAAATGTCAAGAAAATGGGTTGTAGCGATTAATTGGTTTCAACTGTGTACTGTAGTGTAATTGTTGGTCACAGTAGGCCCTATTAGGGGAAGTGCATCTGGCCAATTGGAATGCAATCCGTGCGGTCACCTCTCCAGTTATTGAGGTGACCAAATTGAGGTAAAACTGACAGACCAAGTTAGTGGTGGTACCTTATTCAGTGGGTTAAACGAGTCTAATAAAATTAAAATAAATAAAAAGGCAGCAGCAGCTATTGCAGTAAATGCAGCAGTAGTTACAGCAGAAGCAGCAGCAGCAGACACAGTTATTGAAATAACAGTGTTGCAGCAGTAGCAACAATAGCACCAGCAGTAGCAGTAACAACATCTTCAACTTGTGTGTGTGTATATATATATATATATATATATATAGGGGGGTACCACCACTGGTGTAATTATAGGGACCCACAGCCTCAGAGAAGGGAACACAGAGCACTCAGGGAAAAACTTGACATTTAACTCTGAATACGAAAGAGTGTTCACTTCTCCTACCACCCCCTTTTTTTTTTTTATTATGATGTACACTTTATTATGCAAGGTTATACAGTTACATATCTGATTTTATACAAAAAATGAACATTAAGAGGACACAAGAAAAAGTTCGCTTCCTAGAGGCTGTAGATTTCCTCGAACTCCTCCGACGCCGGGCAGGAACCGAGGATGCAGCGGGCATTTCCCCTCTGGATCGCGACACTGAGGCGCTGAAAGAGAAAACTTGCTGCTCTAGGGAATAATGTATGAATAATGAGGCTATCACCTCATTATTGTCCGGTCGTGATGGTCAAGTGGATTAAGGCGTCTTGTACATACCAGTTGCGTTGCTTCTGGGAGTATGGGTTCGAGTCACTTCTGGGGTGTGAGTTTTCAGTTATATATATATATATATATATATATATATATATATATATATATATATATATATATATATATATATATATATATATTTATATATATATATATATATATATATATACACTATATACATATCATATATATATCCGCCATTTTCGTATAGTCTATTATTACCCTGCATGACCTCGTCAAAATCCCTCAGGGATTTAATAGGATGCCACAAAGTTTGCTACACTGAAATCCCTCGGCATGGCGTTAATCCCTCGGTAGGCAATCCTGTCCGATGAAACGAGTATAAAATCCTATTGAAAATTAAATCCCGTGATCACTCATACGTATGTTCTGTTAAAATGAACGTATGAGCGATGTTCAATTATTTTTCTAATGCTTCCTGTAATCCAACAATATACGATAGTTTTCGTCGCATTCGAAATGGAATGCATTTTAAGTAAGAATTTAGTTTTAATGTAATATGGTGTTTTTATTGATTTTCATGTAGCCTATATTTTTGTGTTTTTATAATAGTCTTTGTGTTTAAATGTTTTTTGTTCTTTCAATCGTTTTTTTTCTTCATTGTCGTTTTAAATATCTATAAATGTTTGCTCTCTCTGTCTACTTCCTTCTCTGTCTTTCTTACTCCTTCTCACTACCTTCTTTTTTCCTTCCCTTCTTCCCTCTTTCTTTCTCTTTCCCTCTACTTTTTCTCCTATTCTTTTGCTCTCCCACTCTTACATCCTATCTCCATCCCTCTCTCCTCCATTTCTCTCTCTCTGCCTCTATTCCTCCGTCCCCTCCCTCGCTCTTTGTGCTTTCTTCTCCTCCTCCTCAAAGTCGTCTCTCATCTTTATCTTTCTCCTTGTTTATTCACGCTCCGTTCTTGCGAATATCGAATTGTTAACTACCTTTCGCCTTTTCCTCCTCCTCCTTGTCTGCTTTCTTCTTCCCTTTATCTTCACCCTCATCTTCTCCTTCTTCTTCCTTCCCCTCTTCTTCTTGCTCTCGCTTATTCCCTTATGCACTTTCTCCTATTAGTGTTTTTTATTCTCTTTTTTTGCTATCCTCATCCTATTTCCCCTCTTCTTTGTGTCAGCTATTCTCTTAAATTTGTCTTTCTTGGTTTTCGTATGGTTGCTATTATTACATTTTTTTTCTCCTTTCTATGTTTTTGATGTGTTCCCTCTTTCTTACTGACACAGGTGGGATTATTTTCCTTTATTATTGTTTTAAGTTTCTGTTTAGCGTTATGTAGTTTGCTGTTACTTGTTCTTGTTCTCATTTACTTCATTTCTCTTCTGGTTTCGTGTTTTTTCCCTTCTTCTGGTTGTTTATTTCCTTTTTCTCTAAAGCCACATGCTTGCTTTCTGTAATATTTTTGTAATCGTGAGAACGTCATCTCTTTCGGGTACTGAAGGCCTTAATTTTATGCAGCTTTGTTTGTGTGTGTGTATGTGAGTGTGTGTGTGTGTGTGTGTGTGTGTGTGTGTGTGTGTGTGTGTGTGTGTGTGTGTGTGTGTGTGTGTGTGTGTGTGTGTGTGTGTGTATATGTGTGTGTCCTCGTGTGTGTGTGTGTGTGTGTTTATGTGTGTGTTTTAACATGTGATGAAGAACATATGTCGGACTTTGTACTTCAAATTTAGGCAATTAATATATAAAACCCTGAACCCAAACCGAAAACCTTTAAACCAGTGTTAAAACAAGACAAATCATATTATCCCACTGTTGCTATCACCGGCCAACGTAACCAAACATTATCTCGCCAAATACAGATCAAGAACGCAATCTAACACCATAATTCTTTCGACTTCCCCCCCTCCTCTTCTTCCCCGGCGTTTCCTCTCTGGTTGGCGATGCTCCTGCGCAGGTAATCAAGGACTCTCAGCTCTTCCTGGTGGTGTTCGTGCTGCTCTGTGTCGACGTGGCCATTATGACTACTTGGCAGATCGTCGATCCCTTCTACAGGGAGACGAAGAAACTAACGCCCTACGTAAGTATTTTATTGTCGCCCATACAAATGGTTTTGAATGCGGTTTGATTGGTTTTTTAAGGACTGGTTGTTGAATGAAGTTTTAAAGCCCTCCCTTATCATAGATCGTAACTGGATTTCACTAGAGTTGAAGCATGATAATTGGTGTGACTGAATTTGAGTTTGTCCTATATAATGGCTGTTGGATATTCGTAAGTTTTTTTATGGATTTAGGATTTATGGATTTAAGATTTTTTGGGGCATATATTTCTCGTTAACTGTCAATTTTCCTAATTTCGCTTCCATCAATATTGATCTCTTGTCTTAGTACCTCTCTCTCTCTCTCCCTCTCCCTCTCTCCCTCTCCCTCTCCCTCTCTCTCTCCCTCTCGCTCTCTCTCTCTCCCTCTCTCTCTCTCCTACCCTTTCCATCACGCTTCTTTTCCACCATAAAGCCCAATTACCCAATAATCCGTCCAATGTATCTGTGTTTTGCTACCAACGATAACAACACAGGTAGTTAAACTCACCGATTCGTTGTGTAACATCTTAATGGCCCTGGTAATTATAGGGCGTGTCGGAGAGGAGGGGAAGAAGAGGGGATGGGGCTTCCTCGACCTTAGCAGTGGTGTAGAGGGAAGAGGGGAAGGTTTCCTTTACCCTAGCCTGGGTGTAGAGAGGCGGGAGAGGGCTTGTTTGAAGCTAGCATTGGTGTATAGAGGAAAAGATGGGCTTCCTTTGATTCTATTTTTGATGTGTGTGTGTGTGTGTGTGTGTGTGTGTGTGTGTGTGTGTGTGTGTGTGTGTGTGTGTGTGTGTGTGTGTGTGTGTGTGTGTGTGTAGATATGTGTATGTGTGTGCATAATGTGGGCACTCACCTAGATGTTCTCTAGGTTAGTGAAGGTTGGGGTCTTACAGGAGCAATATAAAGTTGAAGAATAACATCAGAGCTTTACTATATTATAGATTTTATGCCCTACTAATAACAGTTCACTGATCCCTCTCACAGTAGGAATTGGTAGTTCCAGCAAACACTGACTCACGGATGAAACTATCTCCCACAGATGCGAGGAGACATTCTTGTCATACCAGAGAACGAGTACTGCAAGAGTCAGAAGATCTCCGTGTTTATAGGCTGTATATATGCGTATAAAGGTCTACTCATGGTGAGTATATTTACTCATGTCCACTCAAGATAATTTGACTCATTTGGAGTGAATGCTCACGGTATCTAATTAGATACCTCCCATGGTAAATATCCTCCCATGGTGAGTATATCTACAGTTTCATCCAGGTTCTGTAGAAGACAGTGGTAGAATTCTTGATGGACTTGGAATAGACTTCTTGATAGACTGGGAGGTAAGTGCTTTTTGAGAGAAATGGTGGGAAACTTCTTAGTAAATTCGGGGTTAGGTTTTGAGGGACTCAGTAATAACTTAAATAACCAGTTTGTGAGACCGTGAAATGACTCGTGGTAATACAATCTGCTGTAAACTTTGTGATATTTTGAGATTCTGAAGTTCATTTTGAGTTTATTATTTTGGTTTATTCTGGTTTACATTGGTTTGCTCTTTTGTGTATTTGGGTTCAGTCTGTGGAAGGTGATTAATTGGGGGATATAACTTTATTGCATGATGCATTAAACTGCTGTTTTTAAATTTGGTTTCATTGTTGACTTAGAATTTCACATAGACTGTTACTATGATACTGAACTTTATGGTATATATATTTTTAGAAGTAAATTGGTACTGTGAGACAGAATTTGGCGTATATATTGTTACTCTGTTATACAGAATTTGAAGAATATTGGCAATGTGTAATTGGACTGTTGGTATGTGATAGATCGTTAGATCGCAACCGATATTTATAGTGATATTTCCTCTGTGGCAGAAACATTGAGTGATAGCATTTCCTGTGGCATTTTCTGCGTGTTCCAGAGTTGACAGAAGCCACGAATGAACACACAGACACACACAGACACACACACACACACACACACACACACACACACACACACACACACAGGACCTCGCAGCCGAGTGGACATCGCACGAGAGTGTTAGTCCTAAGGGCCAGGGTTCGATTCCCTTCGCGGAGGAAATATGGGAATATTCCCGTAAAGGAGATATAATAAAGAAAATAGGTTGGCAATCGGTACATTAGACAATCAACGATTAGAAAAGCGGAATCCAAGAACTAACAGCTCGATATCCTGCAGGCAAAAATAGTAGATCCAAACATTAAAAACGCACAATCACACACACGCACACACGAACACACACACACGCACACACGAATACACACTCACGCACACACGAACACACACACACGCACACACGAATACACACACACGCACACACGAATACACACACACGCACACACGAATACACACTCACGCACACACGAACACACACACACGCACACACGAATACACACTCACTCACGAACATAAACGGACACGAAAGAAAAACCCAAGCTCCATCATCAATGCTCAGAATAATTGCTCAACACCTGTGCTCAATATCAGTAATCCTACTGAGCTAAAGGTTCACTATTTACACACAAATCTCTCTGTATAATAAATTAAACATCCCCTCCACTTTGAAAGAGAAAATCTGATCTGGATAAAAATATGATCAAGGGTAAAAATTCACGAGGAAATTAGGATAAATTTCCCCCCTTTAAACGGCCCGTAAAGATATAACAAATTCTTGAGAACCTGTAAAGAAAATAAATGGCACACGAAACATAGATTTTTAATAAAAAAATGCTCTTAAGTGTAGTTAAGAGAGCGAACACTTAAATTTATAAACCTATAAGTATAGCCTGGGGTTGTAAAATATTGAAAACATTGCATATAAGCGAATGTCTGAAACGAAAATATTCTTTGATTACGAAAAATACAGGAAATCACGCGAATATGACTACAGCGTATGAAAGAAAATAGAAAACGGAGTGGAAAGAAAAGGCAATATTTACAGATATTGAAATTTGCAGAAGCACATAAATAGATTCACATGCGCATGTGTACACACACACACACACACAAGAAAGGCCAGAAAGAGAAGGGTGTGGCAGACTGCATATTTTTGGATTGTCAGAAAGCCTTTGATACAGTGCCACACAAGAGGCTAGTGCGAAAGTTGGAGATGCAGGCTGGAGTGAGAGGGAAGGTACTCCGGTGGATAGAGGAATACCTAAGCAACAGGAGACAACGAGTCTGTGTGAGGGGTGAGGTCTCAGATTGGCGAGACGTCACAAGTGGAGTCCCGCAGGGGTCAGTCCTTGGACCTATACTGTTTCTGGTATATGTAAATGATCTCCCAGAGGGTATAGATTCGTTCCTCTCAATGTTTGCCGACGATGCAAAAATTATGAGGAGGATTGAAACAGAGGATGATAGTAGGAGGCTACAAGATGACCTGGATAGACTGAGTGAATGGTCCAACAAATGGCTGTTGAAGTTCAACCCGAGTAAATGCAAAGTAATGAAACTAGGAAGTGGAAACAGGAGGCCAGGCACAGGATACAGAATAGGAGATGAAGTACTTAATGAAACAGACAGAGAGAAAGATCTAGGAGTTGATATCACACCAAACCTGTCTCCTGAAGCCCACATAAAGAGAATAACGTCTGCGGCATATGCGAGGCTGGCTAACATCAGAACGGCGTTCAGGAACCTGTGTAAGGAATCATTCAGAATCTTGTACACCACATATGTAAGACCAATCCTGGAGTATGCGGCCCCAGCATGGAGCCCGTACCTTGTCAAGCACAAGACGAAGCTGGAAAAAGTCCAAAGGTATGCTACTAGACTAGTCCCAGAACTAAGAGGCATGAGTTATGAGGAAAGGCTGCGGGAAATGCACCTCACGACACTGGAAGACAGAAGAGTAAGGGGGGACATGATCACAACCTACAAAATCCTCAGGGGAATCGACCGGGTAAACAAGGATGAACTATTCAACACTGGTGGGACGCGAACAAGGGGACACAGGTGGAAACTGAGTACCCAAATGAGCCACAGAGACGTTAGAAAGAACTTTTTCAGTGTCAGAGTAGTTAGTAAATGGAATGCATTAGGAAGTGATGTGGTGGAGGCTGACTCCATACACAGTTTCAAATGTAGATATGATAGAGCCCAATAGGCTCAGGAATCTGTACACCAGTTGATTGACGGTTGAGAGGCGGGACCAAAGAGCCAGAGCTCAACCCCCGCAAGCACAATTAGGTGAGTACAATTAGGTGAGTACACACATACACACACACACACACACACACACACACACACACACACACACACACACACACACACACACACACACACACAGGTGTGTGTGTGTGTGTCAGACTGTGTGCTTTTCAGAGTAGTTAACAGATAGAATGCATTAGGCAGTGATATGATGGAGGCTGACTCCATACACAAATGTAGATATGATAGAGCCCAGTAGGCTCAGGAATCTGTACACCAGTTGACTGACAGTTGAGAGGCGGGACCAAAGAGCCAGAGCTCAACCCCCGCAAGCACAATCAGGTGAGAACACCAGCAGGTTCCCGGTAAGCATGACAACAATATGAATAGGTCCAAAGTCAACCTAGCATATCCCCCCTTTTCTCTCCCTGACTTCTCAACTCTCACCAGTCTGGCCTTTGTGTCTTCCCTCCCGACAGGTGTTCGGATGCTTCTTGGCGTGGGAGACGCGCCTGGTCAGCATTCCAGCGCTCAACGACTCCAAGTACATCGGGATGAGTGTGTACAATGTGGTGATCATGTGTGTCATCGGCGCCCCCATCTCCTACATCCTGAGTGACGAGCAGGATGCCTCCTACCTCATCATCTCCGTCTTCATCCTCTTCTGCACCACCGGAACTCTATGCCTCGTCTTCGTGCCTAAGGTATAGTCTCAAGGAGCTGCTTAAGGTGCTACTCGTCAACAAAGCAGGAGAGCGGGGGGTTGAAGTGACAAGGACATTTTTTGGATGGGGGTTCAAGGTAGACGGACAAGGTTCAAGTTACGGGGGCCTCGTAGCCTGGTGGATAGCGCGCAGGACTCGTAATTCTGTGGCGCGGGTTCGATTCCCGCACGAGGCAGAAACAAATGGGCAAAGTTTCTTTCACCCTGAATGCCCCTGTTACCTAGCAGTAAATAGGTACCTGGGAGTTAGTCAGCTGTCACGGGCTGCTTCCTGGGGGTGGAGGCCTGGTCGGAGACCGGGCCGCGGGGACACTAAAGCCCCGAAATCATCTCAAGATAACCTCAAGATAGACAGCTGTGGATAGAGGTCAGGACATGACTATACTATCCACTCTATATTAGAGTGGATAGTATAGTCAAGACTATAGTTACTGGTGGAGGAATGTGGTGATATGTGTTAGGTCTGGATGGGTTGTGTGTGTGTGTGTAGTCGTGGTGCCTGGAATGATACTTGAAGTGGCGGGGGGGGGGTAAGTCTTGTTGACTTGTCTGTCATTAAGTCTTATAATTGGATTTTTGTGTCAGGTGTAGCTTAGGGCCTCAGGCGAGTGTGTGTGTGTGTGTGTAATTACCTAAGTGTAATTACCTAAGTGTAGTTAAAGGATAAGAGCTACGCTCGTGGTGTCCCGTCTTCCCAGCACTCTTTGTCATATAACGCTTTGAAACTACTGACGGTCTTGGCCTCCACCACCTTCTCACCTAACTTGTTCCAACCGTCTACCACTCTGTGGTAGACGTGTGTGTGTGTGTGTGTGTGTGTGTGTGTGTGTGTGTGTGTGTGTGTGTGTGTGTGTGTGTGTGTGTGTGTGTGTGCGTGGTGTTTGAGTGTGTGAGTATGTGTGTGTGTGTGTGTGTGTGTGTGTGTGTGCGCGTGGTGTTTGAGTGTGTGAGTATGTGTGTGTGTGTGTGTGTGTGTGTGTGTGTGTGTGTGTGTGTGTGTGTGTGTGTGTGTGCGTGTGTGTGTGGCAAAAAAACAACAACAACAGTTGATTAACAATTGAGATGCGGACCCAAAGAGCCAGAGCTCAACCTCCACAAGCACAACTAGGTGAGTACAACTAGGATAGTACACACACACATAAGCACACATTAACAGAAGCGTTAAAGTGAATGTAAAAAGGTATACCAGCTTCTTCCTGGCAAGGCTATGCAGTTTAATCCATTGATCTAGAATGAATAGAGAAATGAATGAAGTCATTAACGAAAGAAAAATGAATCGCACGCAATAATAATACAATAATTGATAAATAAAACTGGAGTAAGAAACACAAAAGTAATACTGCCCGAAAACATTGCAATTACGGCGCAATAAAAATTTAAATTATGCAATTATTTTTATTAGCATCTATAAAAATATTAATAACAATTCCAGATAATAGAATTAAATGCTAATTACCTCAGCATTACTTTTTGGAGGCAAGATTAATGGAAAGAGTTTTATTTTTTGATAACATGTCTAGAATGTCCCCACGGGCATTCAAGAAGAGTGGGGATCTAATCTTGAAATTTTGGAGTCTGCGGTTGAATTACCTTAATTCAAAGCGTTGGCCTATTCATATCTAATTATATTCGTCGAGATTAAAAGTGCAATCATGAATGAATGCCTCCTGATTTGGGGATTCATATTCAGCGACACAGATAGTAGGTTTTTATTTTTATTTGTAATTTGGAGCAATGTGGACAACAAACTTTGGAAGCTACGACTGGCTCTGTTAAGTGACACACACACACACACACACACACACACACACACACACACACACACACACACACACGAATGGAAGGCTTTAGGAAGTGATGTGGTGGAGGCTCACTCTATACACCGTTTCAAATGTCGATATGACAGAGCTCATAAGGCTTAAGAACCGGTAGATTGACAGGTGGGTTAAAAGAGCGGAAGATCAACCCCCCACAAGTACAGCTAGGTGAGTACAACTAGGTGAGCACAAGCATAATTGTTATCGTGAAAATCATTCAAAATCCTTTAATCATTCCTTTTTCCATTGCCCTAATCATCTTTATAACCGTTGGCTTCAATCGTGGATAGAAGGGGAGAAGATGAAGGAAAGAGCAGAGGAGAAGGGGAGAGAAGAGGGTAAAGAGGGGTTAGAGAGAAGAGGAGAAAAGGAAAAGAGGGAAAAGTTAATGAAGATAGCGAAAGGAATAAGTTCCATTGCTTTCGAGCTTAAAGCTGACAGTCCAAACTTGAAGTCTGCAGTATTTCAAGCTTTGCTAAAAGATGGTTACAGAAGACAGAAGGAAAGGAGGAAGGAAGGGAAGGAGAAAAGAAGAAGTAAAAGACAGTGGCAGTAAGGGATTGAGAGTGAGAGGAAATCGTATTAAAAATAATAATTTTATATAAAACTTTTTAACCAAATACCTTAAAATAACAGTACGCTGCAGGGGGAATTACAAAATACATAAAACCATTAATAAACATACAATATAGAGCGTGTATTACTCTACACACTGATAAGAAAAACTGCTATTTTTCCTAGTTACTGCTTTTGTAGTTTTCATAGCTACTGATTTTGTAGTTGCTGACTGTAACAAATGACTGACATTTGGAACCTAAATCATTTCTTTTCTCCTGAATTTCCATTTCAGATACAAAATTGGGACATTTTTCCCCAAATGCATTCAACTTATATTACAGCCTCATAGTACAGTTATTTTCAATCTCAACTCACAATCGGGGGATCTCGGGTTCGACTCCCGGGACGGACAGAAGAGGATGACTGCCTTTGCTTTCACCTGATGCCACTGTTCACCTAGCAGTAAATCGGTATATCAGATAGTTAGGCAACTATTATGGGGATTGCATCATGGGAAGGGTCAGTAGTTCGACCATACGGAGGACCTCAATACACGTCTAAAGTCTACATATATATACACACACCCAGGCCTCCTGTCCCCGACAAGAGCAGTACATGCCTCCAGTATTTTGTTATTTTCTGATAGTATTTGTCAAATGTTATTCAAACATTTCAAGAATAAATCCCCCTGACTGTAAATCCCATGGTTGTAAATCTGCTGTTCTAAATCCCCTAGTTTTAAATCTTTTGTCTGTAGACCAACCGGCTGTAAATCTCCAGGCTGTAAATCCCCTAACTGCAAATCGCCTGGTTATAAATCTACTGGCTGTAAATCCCCCTGGCTGAAAATCACCTGGCTGTAAATCTCCAGTCTGCCAATCATAAAGTTGTGAATTCACTGGCTGTAAATCTAAGGGCAATAAATATTCTGGCTTTAAATCAGCAGACTGTAAATCAGAGCCTTTATTGACAACGGACAAAATTAAAGGCTCTGGCACCGCCTGTTGACTTTATTACACACACACGAGACATTGAGTTAACCGAGCAGTAGGACTGATCGCTGATGCAGTGATTTACTTCAAAAATAGTACAACCAGCATGAAGCTGCTGATGACTGAGCGTCTTACGTTGTGGGTGCCACCGGTAGGTTGCTCACGAAGTTAGTTCAGGTGGTCAACCTTGAGAATATAGGCGTTGTACAGAACATTAAATACCAATATCAATCAAAATAGAAGGTCTCAAGAATTTAGATATCAGTCTTCTCGTGCGTCTCTCTCTCTCTCTCTCTCTCTCTCTCTCTCTCTCACTCACTCATAAATAAAGGATGCCTGTGAACCGGTCTGACATTAACTACCACTCCTGAAAGCAATTAAACCCAGGTGGTGAGGTTACTTGTGTCTCCTGGTTGGAAATTCAGGATGACTCGACAAAACTGCACTAATTTGTGTTGACAGGCAAGTGGTTAGTTGGTCCAGGGTGGGTGGGTGTGTGTGTGTGTGTGTGTGTGTGTGTGTGTGTGTATACTCACCTAGTTGTGTGCTAGTGTATGTGTGTTAATCTTATTTATTGCAAAAAAGCAATCCAATTCATTGCAATATATCTAAATATTATATATATATATATATATATATATATATATATATATATATATATATATATATATATATATATATATATATATATATATATATATATATATATATATATATATATATATATATATATATATATATATATATATATATATATATATATATATATATATATATATACCTTATCAAGATCTGCAAGAAAATCACATGCAAAGCTCTATACGAAGTTTGGAACTTATGACATTGGACGCGAAGTTTTAAATTAGATTTGGAGCTTGGCTGAAACGGATCACTGGAGGGGGATTGACGTTCATTATGGACGTGTTGACGTGCAGAATGGACGTGTTGACGTGCATAATGTACGTGTTGACGTGCATAATGGACGTGTTCATGGTCCCAGTTGACGTCGAGAATTTTAATGGTAGTGAAACGTGGCGCGTTAAGACCGCAGACTTTCACAGCTGTCTGCGTTAATAATGCCCCTGGTTTCACTTTTCATACTCTAGGGTTCTTGGTTAGATCACTTATGAAAAGTTTATATTTTTAAGTTATAAGGGCTTAGATAAGGCAAACAGTGTCCAACGATCAGCGAGTATTTTGGGAGTATTCTGTCCAACGTGCATTGGGAGTACATGGGCTGGAGACCGTTGCAATTGCACTCCCTCAATATTCCTTTCTCCTCCCCTCTCTCCTCGAAACGTCCACCTTCTTTAATTTATCTTTCCTTCCTTCCTTTACGTCCTTGCTTCCTTCCTCCTCCTCTCTCTTTCCGACAGATCTCCTTCTTACTTCTCACTCACCCTTGTTCTATTCCCCTCTTCCCTTTTTTTTTTTGTTCATCGTCTCAAATATTTTGCATCTCCTTTCTTCCCACTTTATCAAATCCAATTCTCGTTTATTTCTTTTTCTAAGGTGAATCTTGCTTTCTGTTTCTTTCTTCTATCTCTAATTCTCTCTCTCATTCTTTCTCCTTCCCTCCCTCATTCCCTCTCTCTCTCTCATTTCCTCCCTCCCTCCCTCCCTCCCCCTCCTCCACTTCCCCCTTTGCTAATTTGTCCCAATTTTTGTCCCGCGATGTAATTGGGTTACTATCGATCACCAATAACAGCAGATTTTGGACAAAGATTGAAGGCAGTGGTGGTGAGGGAGGGAGGTAGGATGGGTTGAAGGTAGATAGGGAGAGAGAGAGGGAGGGAGAGAGGGAGGGAGGGAGATGTGAGGTAGAGAAGTGAGGTAGCTGGTGGCAAGAATAGAGAAATGCTGGTTGTAGGGATGTCGGTCAAAAGGATTAGATCAGTTTTTGGAACTGATTTGGAACAAAATAATTGTATTCTGTCGTGTTTACTCGCCTAGTTGTGCCTGCAGGGTCGAGCATCTGTTCTTAAGCTCCGCCTTTCGATCATCATTAGTTCAGTGCACAGACTCGATCTTTTTTCACTCGTATTGATTGGTCAAGGAATTCACGTGGAATCATTTGAGTTTCAGGAGCAACAACACCTATAGGCAATCTCTGGTTAAGTTCTGTGTAACCAGTGGGTGGGTGATTTCATGGGGCATAGTTCATAGTGACTTACAGCTTGGGGACCATTCAGTTTGCCTAATTTTCCAGGTTCCTATTTTCTGTTAGGTGAACAGTAGCAACAAATGAAAAGATACGTTAGTCAAACGAAGAAACAAATACTGGATAGACGCCGATAATTCAGTGTGCATCTATATTCTTTATTGCTACATGAGATTATGGAATAGGTAATTGGTAGCTTTTGTGTCTCTTGTTGTTTCGATGAGTCTATAACCTAGATTCTTGAGAAAATTCAAATTGTGATGATCCTGTTCTATTTACTTATATATATATATATATATAATATATATATATATATATATATATATATATATATATATATATATATATATATATATATATATATACACGATGACCATATATCCAATCGTTCATCCTGATCTATGTACTCATACTCAAAACACATTGTATGCATATTTAATGCATATTCTCTAAATATGCAAATATTCAATATTCTGCAAATCTAATTATTATATTCCCAATGCATATCGTATACGTATGTTGTACCTTTTATCTACATATGCACAATTTTCATTTAAAGCATATATCTCTCACATATGGCTGTGGAAAAGAATGAAATGTTTTAAATATGTGTTTTGTTGTGCTTCCAGCTTTGAGCAGCAGTCAATCTCTCTCTCTTTCTCTCTCTCTCTCTCTCTCTCTCTCTCTCTCTCTCTCTCTCTCTCTCTCTCTCTCTCTCTCTCTCTCTCTCTCTCTCTTTCTCTCTCTGTGTCTCTCTCTCTTTCTCTCTGAATTCATCCCTCGCAATGGGCATATTATCTTACACTCTACGCTCTCATCCCTAGAGGTCGTTACCTCCTCGACTTACAGTAATCAGACAACTAAAGTGCATATCATCTTGCAACATGATTCAGTCTGCAATAATAATAAATAATAAATAATAATGATAATAATAATAATCCTTATATTGAATTTTTGAAAAAGTTGATCTGTTATATATCGACTTTAATTAGTTTCTTCTTATTAATATAGGTTTTAATTATTAATATACGTATGATAATAATAATAATTACCTATTTTTTTGGTTAATTTACAGGATTTAATTACAAACGTGTGTGAACTGTTTGATATGGAAAAAAAAATTATTTTATTTGCATTCAATGTAGTTGATGTATGTCCATGTGGTCACCCAATCAGTTACCAGCCAATTCCAAGCCGTGCTTAACCTGACACAAAGACAAGCATCATCCTCGCCGTAGGTAGATTGACGCCGGCTAAGCAGCCTGTTTTCTTGATTGGCCACTCCGTAAGAAATCCTATCTCCTACATGACTCAGAAACGAACCCAACCAAGCCATCCAGCCTTCCGAGTCCGATGCATAGAAAACGGAGATATTTGTGAGCAGTGACTTTTATAATAGGTTGTATTTGTTACGTTGGGTATTACAGCGTACACAAAAATGCGACCTGATAGTTGTAAAGACGGGTGGTTCTATAAGCAGTGGTGTAATGTTCTTGGTCTACAAGATCTAAGGAGGAGGAGGAGGAAGAAGTGGGAAAGAGATTTAAGGAAGGAGGAGGAGGAAAATAAATAAGTAAAAGAAGCAGGTGAAGGAAAAAAAGCATGTAAAAAGAGATGAAAGTATTAAAAAAGTGAAGGACACGCCCCCTTCCCTACAGCACGAGTCTTCAGAAGCACGTAAAGTGCGCTGAAAAGCACGTGCCTAGTTGAATCATTAGTTCATACAGCCATCTCCCTCCTTCCCCCTGTTGTATATCCCCCCCCAAGGTCCACCCCTCCCCTCTCATATATATCCCCCAGGGTCCACCCCACCACCTCATATATACCCTCCAAGATACACGCCCCCCTCATATATCCCTCTAGATCCAACTCTCGTATCATATATCACCCCCCTGCCCCTACCCCCATCCGCCTCCCTTAGTATTTTTTCTACTTCAGGATACTTCTCTTCAAGCCTAAGATATAACTCAGTGGATACAATATCCATAAAGCCACTTTCAACGTTATCAACGTCGTCTAGCGTTGATTGATTCAACGTCCAGCCAACGCCACGTTTGGCTGCCGTGCATATACATACACTGGGGAGTCAAATTCAAGCTTGTGTAGAATTTAATAATTTTATATTTGACTTCTTACATCAGACTACCAGTTGATTACTCTCTAGTATGGTATAATATTACGCCTTTTTCTCCCTCAAATATTTGTAAATATTATTATTTATTGTGGTTTTGTGCATATAGATAGGCCTAGGTAAGGTTTTGTGTAGAGTTTTAATTGCCTTAATTTCGGGAATGTTTAAAATGTGTACTAAAATGGAATGGAATATGTTTCAAGTTTAATATTGGTCAGTAAAATTGGATTTCAAGTTACATATTGTCTTGTGTTGGTGTGTGTGTGTGTTTGTCACTATTTGACTTGTATGCTGCAAACTCCACGGGCCCAGTTTTATGATAATGGGCTGCTATTGGGATAATGGGATAATGGATTTTTGTTCTGAAATGACCATAAACTGCTTCACTCACTCACTCACGTTCACACGCTCTCTTTGACTCACTATTTCATTTCCACTTACATTCTACGACTATCACTCTCTGCACCTCTTTCACTCACTTTCAGTGCCTCTCTTTCTTACTCTCAATGCCTCTCAAACACTCTCTACGCCACTTTCTCACACACACACACACACTCTACCCCACTCTCACGCACTTTACACACTCACTCACTCAGTGCTCCTCCCACAGATCATAGAACTCCGTCGTAACCCTCAAGGCACCATCGACAAGCGCATTGTCCGAGGAACATTAAAACCCCCGAAAAACCCGGACAGTGATTCGGAACTGTCGGACTTACACGATCAGATCAAGAAGGCGGAGAGCGACAGACAGGTGTTCGCTAGACGCCTCCGGGAGCGGGAACAGGAACTTCAGGTGAGGTGACGATGGACAGGAATTCCCAAAGAGGTGTTTAATACATATTAGACAGGTGTTTAAACTTCATGTGAGGTGTTGAACACATGCTGGACAGACAATGGAGACGGACACAGCAGGAGAATGGACGGTTGTTGGAGACGGAGCAAATATATGCTAGACGGTTATAGGAGAGAGGAAGTGACGGAAATGGACAGGTAAATTAGGGTAAACAGAAGTTAGAACATATGTAGGCAGGTCAGGTATAAACCGGTGTGGACAGATGTAAATGAATTCCAGTAGGTATAAGACAGGTGTATAAATAGACTTGGTAAAACTGGTATATATATATATATATATATATATATATATATATATATATATATATATATATATATATATATATATATATATATATATATATATAGGACACATGTGGGTCCAGAGAGAGAGAGATGCAAATGTAAGAGGGAGGGAAGAGCGTCCAATTACGGAAGGTAAGTGGCGTCTTGAATGCGTCAACAAGTGGTCTGAAAGGACAGTGAGACGGGTATCGTCTCACTGTCTCGGACAGTCCTCGCCTACCGTCTTACGTCTCTTTCTCATATATGTCACGATGAGAACCTCTCCTACGAAAGTCAGTTTTCTCTCTCTTTACACGCGATATGCATGAGACAGTCGCCTGCAGCAGTGCCAGTAATTTTGGAAACTTCTTAAGTTACTGGAATAATTTTTGTTAATATCATTATCTTCAGTTGCAGGAATATTTCTATGTAAGGAACATCACCCTCTGAAGCATCAGTAGCAGCAACGATTAACAACGTATCAGTAGCAACAGTAACATCAACAGCATCAGAAGCAACATATGCAGACTAGACATTATAGCATCAGTAACAATAATAAAAGAAACCACAGTAGCAGTTATGGTAGTAGCAGTAGCAACCGTAGCAGCAGCAGTATTATAAGTAGCAGTGTTAATAGCAGCAGTAGTTACAAAACTAGCTACAGGAGCAGCAGCAGCAGCAGCTGTAGCAGAATCAGCAGTAACAGCTGCGAGTCGCAGCATCACTACCCCCACAGTAAGCAACAGTGGCAGCAGAACGAAGTCTCTCACAGATGAACCAATGTACTTTTACAGGTGTTGATAAAGTAGCAGGGCGAAGTGTCTCACTAATGGACAGGTGTGTTCCTACAGGTGTTGATAGAGCAGTTGGGAGAGGAGGCGCTCTCTGAAGTCGAGGCGCACGACCCAACTAGAAGTACGAGACGACCCTCCAAACCTCGCTCCATAGAGAGACTCAGGATAGAAGGTGAGAGAGAGAGAGAGAGAGAGAGAGAGAGAGAGAGAGAGAGAGAGAGAGAGAGAGAGTAACAGAGACAGAGACAGACAGCCAAAGGAAAATTAAAAAAAGAGAGCAGACTAAAGAAAACAACAGTTACTTGTAGAGAGAAACACAGACAAAGAAATGGAAATGTAGAGACAAGAAATATAAATGAGGAGACAAGAGACAGGATTAGAACCCTATTTAACCTACATCCAATTCAGCCAGGGAATAAGAAGCTTCTATTACATATCATCATCAGGATATCATATTTGATATAGCGTTATCTCCACTTTCTCTTAAACATCCTATTTTCCGTTTTTTCTTAATTATATTTACTTTCTCCACCTCTCCTCTCGTCATTATCTCTTTCTCTCCCTCTCTCTTTCTTTTGATTCTACAGCAAATTACATACACAGAACCAAATTTACACACCGGAACACCAGGACCATTACATATTAGGCTGGGTCTGCTCTCAAAGGAATCAGGAAAGTTGAATCCATTCAATTATCATTCGATTTCATTCTTAATTTGGCAGGGGGACTATAGAATAATTAATCCCTGGGAGTGTGTGTGTGTGTGTGTGTGTGTGTGTGTGTGTGTGTGTGTGTGTGTGTGTGTGTGTGTGTGTGTGTGTGTGTGTGTGTGTGTTTACTAGTTGTGTTTTTGCGGGGGTTGAGCTTTGCTCTTTCGGCCCGCCTCTCAACTGTCAATCAACTGTTTACTAACTAACTACTAACTTACTAACTACTTTTTTTTTCCCCACACCACACACACACACACACACACCCCAGGAAGCAGCCCGTGACAGCTGACTAACTCCCAGGTACCTATTTACTGCTAGGTAACAGGGGCACTTAGGGTGAAAGAAACTTTGCCCATTTGTTTCTGCCTCGTGCGGGAATCGAACCCGCGCCACAGAATTACGAGTCCTGCGCGCTATCCACCAGGCTACGAGGCCCCTTGTGTGTGTGTGTGTGTGTGTGTGTGTGTGTGTGTGTGTGTGTGTGTGTGTGTGTGTGTGTGTGTGTGTGTGTGTGTGTGTGTGTGTTTGTGTCTTAGAACATTTAAATGATTAATTTTATAATGATCGTTGTTATTATTGCTGGAAGTTACTTTGATGTTACTTTTGGTTGTGGCAACTTATCGCTTTGAGAGAGACAAGGTAACCGTTGACTAGACCACACACTAGAAGGTGAAGGGACGACGACGTTTCGGTCCGTCCTGGACCATTCTCAAGTCGATTGTGAGAATGGCTCAATCGACTTGAGAATGGTCCAGGACGGGCTGAAACGTCGTCGTCCCTTCACCTTCTAGTATGTGGTCTGGCCAACGTACTTTAGCCACGATATTGTGACTCATCGCCTGCACAATGTAACCGTCCTTGAGTGCCTTAAAGAATGGCTTAAAGTGCGACATCTAAGCATCTATAGAGTGACTACTGAACAAACGAATAAAAACTAACGTTATCAAAGCAAGAAAACACTTAAAACTTCAATACTATTCAGATAAGATGGTTGAAAATTATCTCTATCTGAAGCAACATTTAGTTAGTTTCATCTAAAAATAAAAGAAAACTTCTTCTAGATGTATGTGAATATTTCAATAATATATTTAAGTATAATAACAAATTTAATCAGTTTTTACAATAATTCTGACGATTTTTCCAGCTAAAAAAAGCAAAAATTCTGAAAATTTTAAGGAGTAATTGGAAATTCCTGAAAATTTTATTTTTAATTTAATGACGACTTCAATAATTTTAACGAAATTACAGATACGAGTCATTGGTGTCTATATGGCTTAATCTGTTTATAGACATGTATCTGCGTAATTTAGCGTAATCAATATAGATCCATGAATAGATTGCAGACTAACAGTCAAGGATAGATGATAGTTTCCATCATAGATTCTAATGGGATAATCATAAGGTCTGATGGATTAGCTGGATAAGTTTCCCTAAAAAATTATGTTGGGATACCAGTATATCTTCCTCATTAGCTCTAATGGCATACTTCCATATCACCCTCATAAATCCTGGACGGTAGAGCGACGGTCTCGCTTCATGCAGGTCGGCGTCCAATCTCCGACTGTCCAAGTGGTTGGGCACCATTCCTTCCCCATCCCAAATCCTTATCCTGATCCCTTCCACGTACTATATAGTATGGCGGTTTTCCCCTGAAAATTCCCTCTCTCGTAAATCCTGATGGAATACCTGCAAATCTACATCATAATTTATCATTGAATACCTCATCAGTTTCCAAGTTTGAAGTGGATACAGGTGTGTGTAGGGATGGATTGCTTTGTAAAATCCAGAGCTGGATGCCAACTTGTGTTGTTGCAGCTGCTACCGTTTGCGTCAAAGTGTTGTTAATTAATGTTATTGAATTTGTATTGTGTTTACGTTTTTCTTAATTATATCGATATTTGTTATCATTCATTGTCATCGAAATAATTGGTGTTAGCATCACAGTGCTATTGTAACGACTGAGATTATTGTTGACTAAACCGCAGACCAGAAGATGAGGAATCGACAGCGTTTCGGTCCGTCTTGGACCATTGTATCATGCAGTAAGTGACTTGACGGTCACATACGGACCGAAACGTCGTCATCTTCTGGTGTGATGTTTGGTCAGCATATCCTCAGTCATGTTATTGTGATTCATCGCCTGCATACTGAGATTATAGATGTTAATTCTCTCCCACACTAATCCAATCCCTTTACATTGGGATTTACAATCCAATCATTTGTTCACTCTATCTATTCTGCCCTTGTCTCATATCTACTGTCTCTTCCTGTTCATTCTCCGTCTATTTATTCCTTCATTGATGTTCCCGTCTCTTCTACTTCCCTTCCCGTCTCTTCCCCGAACAGGTCCGTCAATCACGGAAGCGACGGATGCCACGGAGTTGACCTCGCTGTGTTCGGGCACGTCACAAGAGGGCGAGTACGTACTTGGCCGTACCCGTGTCGCGTGCGTGCCCTCCTCCCTCACCACCACCACCACCACAACCACCACCACCACCACCACCACCTCCACCACCACCCACCACCATCTTCAACAACACCACCACCACCACCTCCACCACTACCACCACCACCACCACCTGCCAGGGGTGGGGTCCGCCTCTCTATCACTTGACCGTGCTGCTTCGCGGTCAGTCCTTGTGTCTTGCTTACTTTCTTATTCAGTTTCTTACTTTCATGCTTACTTGTTCCTTGACTTTCTTATTTCCTTGCTCACTTGACCTCTTTTTCCGGGTTATTCACTTATATTTAATTATCATGTTTATTCACTGAGAAATTTCGTTACTGTCGTATTTGCTCATTTTCTTAACCCTTAGACTGCTACCAACGTCATTTCACGTTTGTCACTATCGGAAGTGAAAAATAGTAGAATAGTAGATTTTGTTCAGTTAAAATCCTTAACATAATAACTCACTGACATATCTCCATTAAATATTATATAATAAGATGAAAAACCTTGCAATTATTCCTTGCAATTCGGTAATTAGAAGAATTTTGGCGCTTGCGCCATTATCGTTCTTGAAAATAGAAGATATAAAATAAATTTGTTTGAGATCATATTTGTATCGTTTTTTTTTATTATTGCAATTGATATTAAATTGTCAATCTTAATGACACAAAATCAGATTTAAAATGAATTATTAATAAAAGTTTAATGTTTAGAGAACGTTACAATAAGTTCTTCATATCTAATGTAATCTATTATACATTTTTCCTACTTCAAATTATTTAATGAAAAAATTCAAGTATTTAGTTTTCTAATTACTTTATAATTTTCACAAACAGAATTATACACTTTTAAAATAATTATCCAGTTCAGGAGTTAATAGCTGTAATTTTCAGATTTTTAATTTCTCAGTGCCCTTACTGAATTACTTTCGTGCGTAATCAATTGCGCGTGATACCAACTTTTTCATTTAATTACTTTTTTTAATATAATTTTTCCTTCATGTTTCCATGCATGAACTTTCTTCCTCCTCTTTACCTCATCAATTTATTCTTGTTTTATCATAATCCAGGTTTACTTTATCATCATCTATTGAGTTTTTCTCGTTAATTAGCCATTATAATTAATAATTTTTTCTTTCTTTGTGACTTCGGTTTTCCTAATGTTTCTTCGGCTTTGCTTTTCTATCTTTTCTTTTATCTCCAGTTTCGTGCATCTTGCTTCAATTTGTATAGTTGTGCTTCTGTGTCATCTATTTTGCTCCTGTTACTTCCATTTGGTCGTGTTTCATATTAATGATTCTCTTTCTTCTTCTTTCTTTAATCGTTTTTCTGTTTCTTCCGTCTTTTTTTATATGTATTTAATACATCTTAATTACTTTATAAATTATTTTTTTTCTGACAATTATTTTATTGTCTCCAACATTATTTTCCTCTCGTGAGTATATTTCAATGTGCTTATTATTTTATTATTTCAAGTATATTTAAGAATTCGTTTTTATTCTTGTATATCCAGCCTGTTCTGTTACACGGATTCTTATCACAATTTGTTCTGTTTTATGAGTTTTATTGCTCCAGTTGTGTATTTTATTGGATTTTCTTAGTATTTATTGTTTTTTACTCCTCTGTATATAGCATTATAATGTTTTATTATACTGTATTTACTCGTTCTGTTTTGGTTCATGTTATTTGAATTACTTGTCTATTTTGATCATTTATTTTTATATCATACTTTATCTTGACACTCTCTTTCTCTCTCTCTCTCTCTATTTTGGTGATTTTTAACTATATATTAATTTTGTTTCATTTTCCATCCCTGATTACTCTTTCATGTGTTGTTCCTCCTATTCTTATTATTCTATTATTCCTGCTTTTGTTCTTGTTTTCTTTTAATATTTTTGATTTGGTCTTAAGAGGGGTAATCAACCTCTGGAGAGTTATTAAGGAAACCACAATAACTTACTGTCGTTACTGTAGTTACTGACCAGCTAGAAACTGCACTTCGAATATAGTTTTGGATTTAAGTTAGTTAAATCTAAGTGAATATACACCGAGATGTGAAGAACACATTTCATTGTATACGCAACTGTTCTTCGTGTTCTACGCATTCTTTCTCTTCTTCATCTGTAACTCTACTTATGTGTCAATATTTGACTTACATGTGTTTCTTGAATGTATTTATATATAAATATATGTATCTCAAAACTTAATCTTCCTCTTGTTTTTGTTTTTATAATGTGTTTATTGTATTATAAATTGTTTACCTCTGGCGGAAGTCTCAGCCTACAGGGATTTTTTTTTCCGCTGTTCCTCGTTGTCATTTAATTTTCTGATGTTTTATTAAAAACTACGTTTTAATTTTAATCCAAATTTCTTCTGTTCACTTTGAGACTGTTTATGTTTCTTCATTGTTATTGTTATGTGTTTAGTTCTCTTATCTTTTAAAATTATTTTTTCGGTTCTTCGTGTCAAATTTTATCATTAATTTACGTTCTCAAGTGTGTTTTTATACTGTGCTGTTTCTCTGATTAACTTTCTGTTCACACTTATCAATTCATTCAGACACGGTGGTTGTAGTAATTATTTGAAAATAAATTTGATTTTGAAATTTTCATTTGTAGTGACTATGACCTGATTCCAATCATCTGTTGTTGTTGCTAAGTTATTTTTAATTGCATGATAGTTTCCATAGCCTTAATTTAGCAAAAAAAAAATATTATTTGCTTTTTTTTAACATGTATAAACATGTTTAGTGATATAGTGGTTTCGTTTTATTTATTTTTGTTTTGTTTAGTAGAAATACTGTTTATTTGGTATTTATTTTTCATATATATTTTTTAATGTGTATATCAGTAGTGATGTATAACACTGGGTAGATTAGTATACATACGTATGGGTTTGTATTTAAAGGTTTCCACCAAAGTATATAATACAAGCTTTCCAATACAAGTTCTACTCAATAAAATAAAAATAGTTAGAATTTTAACATTTCCAATATAGTTTACATTTCAAAATTCCCAATAGAATTTATGATATATTTCTAATACAACAAAACTTTAATATATCCCATATTCTTTCAAATTCCAATATATTTTAAATAGTTGTCATTTCAATCTCACATCCACCAATACTCAGAATATATTATTATATATATTGACAAATTTAATTATCTCCCCTTAATAATATTTATTATATATTATTTACAGCCCAGCTCGATAAATAATTTATTGAGAATTAACAAATACAGTACTCAATTTGTTCCCATTTCTATAAGATTGCAGATATCTGTATTAAAGATTTATTAACCCCCTTTTGTAACGTTTCAGGAAATTTCAAGTTTACCTAAAAGAGTTTTAAATATCCCAATTGCTCTCTGAATATTATACATATATATATACATATATATAATATATATATATATATATATATATATATATATATATATATATATATATATATATATATATATATATATATATATATATGACAAAATAGGAAAATCCTCCTAATTTAGGAACCTTAAAATTTGAATTAAAATATAATTGTCAAACCATTCGTTTTCATGACTGAATGAGATATATTAATTAATAATTTATGTTTTATTGTAACTGGTAAACACGCAATCTTATTTTTTATTTTCAAAGTAATTATTATTCTAATAAATATATAATCTCTAATAAAATAATTATATATATATATATAAATATATATATATATATACTCTCTTAATTTATTACAAAAAATCACTTTTCATTGCTTTTTTCTATTTGCCTTTCGTCCCATTTATTCCTTCTTTACTTGTAGTTTTCTAAACAGAACTTAAAAACCTGCTTTTGAGACAAACATTTTTATTTTTGTTTTATTTTGTCTTTAACAAATTTCGTCTTTTGTCTGTTGCTCACCGAGTCGTACTTCTGTCCTGAATATTATTTCATTTACGTCTTATCTACACATGATTAAATATTTATATTGCCTAACAGCCCATACATTTAACATAGTCTTTTTTTCACTACATATTATGTCATACGTAACTGAACATATATATATGTAATGTTACGTACGATATATAAATATAATTTGCATGTGTGTGTTACTGAATATGACCAATAGGGTTTGATCAAGTGAGAAAATTACATTTGACCTGTATTTGAATTATTACATTTGTAAATGTAAAAAATATAAAATTACATTTGGCCTGGACTATTTTAGTCCAGGTCAAATGGAATTAATCTATTTTTTAGTCCATGTCAAATAGAATTAGTCTATTTTTTAGTCCAGGTCCAGCTATTTTTGTCCAGGTAAAATAGACCTGAGGTCTATTTCAGGCGTGTCCATGACCTCGTCTTATGACGGTACCTAACATGGGGCGTTTGATTCCGCCTCAGGATGATTACAAGCAGAATAGTGTGCCTTTTTTTCTCCTGAGAAGATGAAAAGCAAGCTGCCTTTCGTGGTTATAGTCGTTGCTTTTTCACACTTCAACCTATGCAAAAAGAACTAGAAGAGGAATGTGCCCTAATGATGACCAGACCACACACTAGAAGGTGAAGGGATGACGACGTTTCGGTCCGTCCTGGACCATTCTCAAGTCGATTGAGAATATATTCTCAATGTGCCCTAATGCTAGTAGTGAGGGCCAGGATTGGTACAAGGAAAGTGCTGTTGATGCCTACATCAACCCTGCTCTTTCCTGCAGCATCAATTGGAAGCTATTTGACGAGGAACTCAGTAGATCGAGGCATGTCCTTAACAACGGAGTCTCTAATACCTATGTAGATGAGATCATTTAAACTGCCATTGTATCACTGATAGAAAGGTCAACATTACAGAACCTGTCCCATCTGGTATGTTCTACTAAATAATCTTATTTTCACGGAACGGAAGAAACAGCTTCACAATATATTGCAAGAATGATATGATCGTGAATTTGTCTGTGCCTCTACATATTGTTATGAACTGTCAGCCGCAATATTCTCAGTATATAGGCAAGACAGAAACCATTCGTTTCATGCGTTTAATAGCGCACAAACAACACGGTTCTTTCAACCATCACATTATTTATTTCACAGCTAACGCATCACCAGAGATATCCTGACGAACAACGCTGAAATAATCGACAGGTACAGCGATCAGAGACTAGATATAGCAAAAGTACTTCATATCAAGCACTACCATCCAAATACCAACAGCCAGCTTACACATAAGCACGTCCTTACTGTCTGCACGATCGAGACAGAATTTCCAATATACAACACACCTTCTTCCCTACCTAACCAATGAGAATGAAAAGAGCGCTCGTCAGGGTAACTATCCCATCTTTCTTCACACATACATGGAATATACACTGCTGTTTCTATTCACCTGTATTAAATTTCCTCTATTAATTTACCCAGCAGCTGCCATACCTCTTAGCGGCGTCTACTGGAGGACAGGAAGCCGGGGGCTTGTTAAAGGGCAATAATGCTTCACTTTAATAGCTATGCAACATGCCCCAGTAGAAGTGATAAAATGGACTTTTGGAAAGCTAACATTCTCCCCCTACGTTAAAATAGAACATTATAAATAGAGACAATTTTCATGCTAGAGTCATTGATCAAACCCCTTACTGAAATATTCAGTAACATCTGCCTTTACAAACGTCATGAAATTCTTGAACCTTCATTATAAATTGAACGTGATACCATCCTAACATGATGTCATAAAACAGCCAAGGCTCTCCCTATCACCATCAATATCAATCACCATCATTTCCATCACAAATCATCACCACCACTATCATTATTATCAACACAATCACCACCAATATCACCATCACAAAAATCACCACTATCACCATCACCACAATCACCACATCAGAATCAACACAATAAATACTTTCATCAGCATTAATTCATATCATTAATTCAGTATTAATTAAGCATTAATTCAGCTTAATTTCATATCAAATAGACGTCTATTAGGATTTAGGCTCAGCATACTGTAAGTAGAAGCGTCTTGTCTCACTGTAAACAAATATAAATTTTTTAGATATGTTTAATATATTATCTGATATAATAATATATTACTAGATATATTTAATGTCTTGCTAGATATATTTGATATATTTTAAGATATATTAAATGTATTTCAATTATATTTAATATATTCTTAGATATATTTAATATATTCTTAGATATATTTAATATATTCTTAGATATATTTAATATATTTCTATATATTTTATATATTTCTATATATTTTATAGAAATATATAAAATATATAGAAATATATAAAATATATAGAAATATGTTAAATATATCTAAGAATATATTAAATATATCTTTATAGATATATTCTAGATATATTTATATTTATTTTAATTTCTGGATATATTTTATATTTTAGATACGTTTGATAAATTTCTAGATGTATTTAATATATTTCTAGATACTATTATTATATTTTAGATATATTTATTATAATTTTATATATATTTATTATTATATCTCTAGACAAATTTATTATATTTCCTGATATATTTAATAGATTTCTAGGTATATTTATATATCTTGAAATCCATTAGATATATTTCTAGGTATACCCGTGTATTTATACATTTAATTAATTTATAGGAATATTTAATTGCTTCCACATAGATAAGGTTATCGAATTTTCTTTCGTGTATAATTCAATGCTGATCTTTTTTTATCTATTTTGAATGGTAAATGTATAAGTTTTTGGCTTTAGTTACAAATGTTATGGAGGATATAGATATCACTGTCGTCAAGGCATCTTTAGATTTGCACCATTCTCACCTCTGGTTGCGTTAATGGTGATTTGTTATGGTAGTGATCTTAAGGTAGTTTAGTTCTCTGTTTAATACCGTTAACTGCACCGCTACCGTTATGGGCTGTTGTAGCAACAGCTGCTGTTAGTAGCGTACCGTCACCACGCCACTGTTGCTCACTGTATCCGTCACTATAGCCACGAAAGCACCGCACGTATCATCACCATCATTACGATCACTATTAATACGCCATCCTAGCTGTGCACCTTCCAGCAATAACGACACCACCACCATCGCCGCCATAAATGGTAATATCGTCATATTGTTCTACCATAATCACCATTAATACATCACCATTACAATGCACCAACTTGCTCGTCACCACCATGTACTACCACAACCACCACCACTACCAAAATCAGGCGCTACACCCTTTAGAACATCACTACTATCACTATTCCCAACACCACGCTCGACACCATTAAAGTCCCACCACTATTTACCGCAATAACAGTGCCACCAATATCACTATCATCAAAACTACCACAATCAGTCTCACTATGCTTAACCACTCTTATCATCCTTACTGAACACTTCACCATCTTTGGTACTAAGTATCATTCCCATCACCATACACAGACGCCTTCGGTATCACTACCACCCTCTTCACTATCATTGGTACTATGCACTACCACCATCCCAACTGCTTTAACCACAAGCCCGTATTGTTATTATCATGCACTATAACTGTCACCCTCACTATCACTATCATTAATAAATCTATTGATATCACCATACACCAACTACCACTATCACCACGGCTCACCACTATCACCATACACCTCCAACCCACTAATTACCGCTATCACAATACACAACCATTATCACCATGCACTACCAACTACCACAATCACTATCATTATGCACGTTCAAATACCTCTTACCTCCATACAGCACTGTAATCATCATTTTCGACTTTCTACCACCATCACTATGCACCATCACTATCACCATGCACCTACCACAATCACCATGCACCTCCAACCACCACTATCACTATCTCTGCACATCTTGACAATGGAACCAGTTCTGAGTTGCTTAAAACATTATATTTGGTTATTAAACTAAACACCAATATACTTTTTTGCAAAGGCTTTTGAAATTATTTTGAGACATATTGTTATATAAAACTATGGTGTTTTTAACTGATTTCTTTAAATAGGCATTTATTATATTAATGATTTTGTTAATTAGATTCTAAATAGACTTTTTAATTGAATAATTAAACATTTTTTGTAATTAATTTGATGTTACCATCACAGGAATAATCACTGATAAGGACCCACAAATAATATTAGAAAACATTAAATAATTTTAAACGAGTAAAGTCGATGTTATCAAATGTTAATTTACAAGCTAAACGAAGTTTATTTTCCGCCAAGTATAAAGTAGATCATCAAGCAGCGGCTTGGACGAGCAACTATTGGTAAAGAGCAGATCATGCCTGGCGTAAATCTGCTCTATCTTGAACACAGACCCCCGAAGATAATCCTGAAATCGACAAGTTAGTCGATTCCGTTTCTTGCAACAATTCAGTTTCCAATACTAGAGAGAGATTCGTTTGAAGAACTGTGAATACTGAACCAGAACAGAGATTCTGCAGATCTTGTGTTCAGTTTCCATGATGCGTATTAGGTTCCATTAGTGTCATATTTTTCCCCTGAAGTTAGGTTTAGATGCTATACTAAAGTGAAGATCCGACAGGCCCGGGGGATCAGATTGCCTTTACGCCAGGCTAGTAACGCCCTCGACCAACTCTTTGCTCTTAGTTCTTGCCTTAGCAACCTGCATCAATGCACTTATGCCTGTTGAATGCACTCTCATGCACTTAGATGTAAGGAAATATCCGAGCAATCTAGGCTAGGTTGTGTAGCTGCGCAGCCCATCCTTAAGCTTAGCTCGTTCATGCAACAACCGTCCCAAAATATATAATACAATGAATATTATTATATATTAAGGATATTTACCGGCATGCTTTTTTATTGAGTTTTCAAATAATTTCGTTTAGAGTTCAGGGATGAATGATTTTTTGAAGGGTGCTCTGACCATTAGTGAAGCACTTTTCGAGAAAATTTCGTGAGTAATAAATTCCGAATCATTTCTATTTTTTTTTTCATATACAGATTAGATTCCATCGCACAGAACAGCTTTGGAAAAATTAATTTAATTAAGGGTGGGTTGATGAAAGGAGTCTTTTAGTCTCTAGAGTTCGACCCTGAGTCTCGAAGTATCATGAACTGTAACAAATCCACAAAGGCCGTGACGAGGGTTCGAACCTTACGTCCGAGAGCACCCCAGACGCTGCCTTAATCGACTGAGCTATCCTCCCCTTGTGGATTTGTTCATTTGATGTATCACGCTATTGTGATTTCTGTGTGTCAGGAACTGTGTTCTGGTACCTGGTGATGCAGGGACCGAACCCTCCTTAGAACCTTACTGCCACAGACTTCTCGGTTATATCTACAGTTTTATAACGGTGAACATTCATATTACAAGTTTCTTTTTAAATAGTATAATTGAATACACAAAATTATTCGCATATTCTTCGTTGAAACAATTTATTTGTGATTCGATAATATTTCCATTACAAATGGGTTCAAATCTTTTTCATATCGGACATCCCAATTTTGTTGTTGACCCGAATTAAAGAACCTAACTTTACCACTGACCTTAAATATTAAAATTAACTTAATTCTGTTTAGAAATATTCCTATCTACTATATGTTTACCGTTTCCAGAAACAGAACCGCTTATAACAAACTTTTTCGGGCCCCCGTGAGAGCCATTTAAAGTATATTACTCTGGATCTCCCCATGGAAAATTTGACTTTCGTTAAATCAATATATATTTTGCGGCGATTTAGCATTTTCAATCTGACAGATTATAATTGGTTTGTTTGTTTATGGTGGCAGACATATGAGGAGGGGAGGGAGTATATATATATATATATATATATATATATATATATATATATATATATATATATATATATATATATATATATATATATATATATATTCTCCTCCCATTCCCTCATTTCTGCGACCATAAACAAACACAACAATTATAATCTGTCAGATTGAAAACGTTAAATTTCATTTAACTCTACCTCACACCTTTCTTTTGACCCCTTCTAACCTCTCTTGACCCCTCGTAATACCAGATAAAAATTCTAATTCATATAAAAACAAGTTTAGATCTTCAGATTAACTACTGTGACCAATGACCCCTTTTCCCATGACCTCAGTCGAGGGGTGACCTTCGCGTCCCCTCTTCAAACCCCTCGTGACGTGAGCAAGAGTGTGTCCTTTCGCCTGGAGGGGGGAGGAGTGGGGGGATGCCCCACCACGGTGGAGGCTATTCCCCTTCTCCACATGAACGCCCCCCCGGTCTCCCAGATGGGGGGCCCCACTCCCATGGCAACCGTCAACCAGCCTCCCCCACAACCCACGGCTCCTGCTCCCATGACTGTCAACCCCTACCAGGTGCGTTACGGTGTGTGCCGTGTGGGTGTGCGTGTGTGTGGGGGGGTGAGTGTGTGTTTGGGTGTGTGTGGGTGTGTGGCTGTATATGTGTGTGTGTGTGTGTGTGTGTGTGTGTGTGTGTGTGAGTGTGTGTGTGTGTGTGTGTGTGTGTGTGTAATTACCTAAGTGTAGTTACAGGATGAGAGCTACGCTCGTGGTGTGTGTGTGTGGGTGTGAGTGTATGTGTGTGTATGTGTGTGTGTGTATGTGTGTGTATGTATGTGAGTGTGTGTGTGTGTGTGTGTGTGTGTGTGTGTGTGTGTGTGTGTTTAATGTTTATTATGATTAAACAACCACTTGGCAGAAGAGGTCAACATTTGTTCCAGATTTAGCTACTCAGAACGAAATGTCCATATAGCACGGGCTATAGTGAGACCGTAAATCTTAGTGTAAACATAACCTCTGTATCTCACCTGACTCTACAGGAGCCGCTACTAGAGCGCGAAGGCGCGGCGTACGGCGGGTACGGCGGGGTGTACGTGCATGACTACGGCGGTGCCATGATGCAGAAGGAGCAGAACATCCTCCAGCAGCGTCGTACCAGCAGAAGCAGCCTCCAGGGCCTCAGGCGCTACAGCAGAGAAGAGGTGGACCTCGGCCCGCCTTTAGAAAACGCCCCTCCGCCTCCAAATATACAGGAATACGGGGCGCCGCCCTTAGGGGATAAACCCCTAGATATGCCCCTAGGGGACACAACGTGTCCCTACAGGAGAACCAGTCTGCGACAGAGCAGCGGTGTCAAGTACAGCCAAGTGCCTCGTAACCTCTACACGCCTCTCAATAACGAGGACAAGTTGCCTTTCCTGGTAGCGGCCAAGAAACCAGCAGATATCAAGATCATCAATAACAAGTCTAACTACCAGGCGCTTAGCGAGAAAAATAACAACGCCTTGGCCAGTCTCGCGGCCGGATATAACATATCAGCAGACGGCCCTGTTGGGTACAGAGTCGTGCAGCAGCAGCAGCAACAGCAGCAGCAGCAGCAGCTCCTGCGGCACCCGCAGGAGCTGCAGCGACTGCAGCAGGAGCAATTGCAGCAACCCACGACGCGTATGGCAGCGCTCAGACGCGGCAGCGAGCCTCCGCGACCTCCTGGGCGGGGTTCGATGCACATCAGGAATCGGTCGTGCGACGACCTAGCGTGTTCCTGCTGCGACGTGCCTCTCCCGCACGACCTCCTGGCCGACCACGCAGCCCACAGCGCCTCCGACGCCGCCACCGACAGCGACGTCGACCCGCGCGAAATGGGCTCGCGCTCGCGCTGGGAACTGGGTGACGAACGCGATGGAACCAGGACCATTTCCAGAGCGCATCTGCGCCGCGATAGCTTCGGCGAGGTGGTGTCGCGTCGGTCGCCCAGCCAGGATAGCCTGGAGCAAGTGCGCATGCGCTCTCCGACCATCATGCTGGATGACCCGACGCCCACGCCGCCGCCCATGGCCACCCATGATATCATGGGGAGGCGATCTCCCAGTCAGGATAGCTTTGGCTACGGCGTCTCCCGGAGGTCAGAGAGTCAAGACAGTCTCAACCGACAGGTGAGAGATCATTCATACACATTCATCTGCATACAGGTACACACATTATGCATACGAGTACACATATATACACCTTGGTTCACGTACGCATGCACATCTTGTATTCACGTATATTATTTCACCTGTACACATGTACACGTTCACCTGCATACAAGACCACACATACACCTGCATACATACACACATGCATACAAATCTATACAACTATACATGCATGTTTATGTAAAATGTTAAATGTTGCTTAAGATTCCACTTTGGGTTGAGTTAATTTGACTGTATTTAAGACAATATTTACCTAAATCTATGTTTTCTGTATAAAAATAAAATGAAAACAAATTTCATAATTCTCACATTAAAATATATAAATATATTGAACTATTTCTGCAAATGATTAAATTAATATTTATCTTTAAATAATAATTACATTCAGCTGTATATTCACTGAGAGGTTTCTTGAATTTTTAGCATAGTTCAAGACTAAGATTGATTTACTGATTGGTGAGTAAGCAAGTGTTGAGGAATTAATAATTATAGGTATTAATCATGATCTTCCCGCACGACTCTTAAACGTCACTCTCAAAAAGAACACATTTTTAACTTTTTTCCCTTGAAAAGCAAAATCCTACACACACACACACACACACACACACACACGCAGAGGGGCCTGGCGGTTGAGAGGATAGCTCTTGGGGGTCATAGTTTTAATGACCCGGGTTAGATTCCCGGTAGAGGCGGAAGCAAATGGTCAGAATTTTGTTTACCCTGATGTTCCTGTTCACCTAGGAGTAAATAAGTACCTGGGAGTTAGACAGCTGCTGCGGGATGCTTTCTGTGAATGTGTGTGTGTGTGTTAGATAAAAATATATATAGTAGATATAATATAGGAAAAATATATTGGTTAGAAAGGCGGGTCCAAGAGCTAATAGCTCGATTCTACAGACATAAATAGTAAATATACTCACAGAAAATAATTAATAAGTGTCTTGCAATTAAATTTGTTAAGTGATTTTATGTTATAACGAAGTTAAAATGTTTCTCGTGTTCGGTCTTTCTCTCTCTCTCTCTCTCTCTCTCTCTCTCTCTCTCTCTCTCTCTCTCTCTCTCTCTCTCTCTCTCTCTAACACTCTCTCCCACTCTCTTTGTCTGCTCTCTGTCCCGTCTCTTTCGCGCTCTGTGTAATCTCACTTTCTTTTCCATCTTCCCTCTCGTAGACACAAGTAAATGTAAGTAAAAATAAAAAAATAAGGAAATTCATTCAACAAATCTCTGAAATCCTGTTAGCAAGAAAACAAACCGTATTTCTATAAGTATCCACAATGGAAAATGAACATTAAACTAATCCGAGCGCTTTCGTGATACAAATCATTTTCAAGGAATAATTAGGTAATGGGGGAGAAGGGGTCATATATTCCTTGAAAATGTGTTGAATCACGAAAGCGCTCGGATTATTTTAATTTTCCTATGTGGATACTTATGCATAACTTAATCACGTGATCCAGTCCCCTGGGCTCTAGAAGACTCGAACCATTGACCCCCACACGTGTAATGCCGAAGTTCTATCGACCGACCTATTGTGTAGTCTCAATAGGGAAAGATTTTTGTAATCATGTATTTGTAATTATGCTTGCTTAAATATACATGTGTATGTTTATATATCATAATATGCAGTTTTTCATACACACGTGGTGGCCGTTTCATGTTAAAATTGTACTGAAAATTATAAATAATTTCCTTTTGCAAAATTCTGAAAAAAAATCATGTTCCAATATAGTGAAATATGGTGGGACAAATCCCTAGATTATTACACTTTTTTTTATATATTTTTTGCATTAACTCCAAAAGCCTTTGTTCATTATTTTTTTTATTATGATAAAAATCAATTTACTCTAAAATTGCCATATTGATTTAGTTAATGTACTTTTTAAATTTATACAATGTTTCATATTTAAATTTGAATTGCCAAAATGTTAAATGTTTGTTAAAATCTTCTATATTTTTATTATATCGTTTTGCAAGTGTGTCAGTTAGATATATTGTCTTCCTGAATACATTTAACAAATTAGTTCAGCGAGGATGGCCAAGATTCAGAAGGATTTTCCATGAGGAACAATTTATAATATAGAGCCTCTAACCTCCTAACCTAACTTAACCTAAGCAAACCTAACCTAAGCTAGCCTAACACTACCTAACATTAGCATTAAACAGACTTCGAAAACATTCCAGATATGTCCTTCCATTCCCCCTTCCCTAATTCCAAAGTTATTCACAATTCCTCTACCCCATTTCCCCTACCCAGCATCTGAAATAATTCACGATATCTCCTCTCATACCATCCCCCCCTCCTGCCAAGGAATCCGAAATTATTCACGATAGCTACCTGTATACGCTTTACCTGCCACCCCGCCTATCTCGACAGGTATCGTCGAGGGATCGTGTGGCGAGTCAAGAGAGCTTGGGTACCATGAGCAGCCGGGGATCGGTTTCCGGCAGCATCTACAGCGTCACCTCTGCCAGGAGCGACGCGCCAGTCTCTCGATGTTCTAGCAAGGAGACGGTGAGTGCTTTTTGGTACGAGTTTACTGCCTGAAGACTCTATGATATTTGGGCCTGATCTTGTCGGAGGTATCGTCTTGATATTTGGGACTGACCTGGTCGATGGTCTGAGTTATCGTCTTGATGTTTGGGACTGATCTGGTCGAAGGTATAGTCTTGATATTTGGGACTGACCTGGTCGATGGTCTAAGTTATCGTCTTGATGTTTGGGACTGATCTGGTCGAAGGTATAGTCTTGATATTTGGGACTGATCTTGTCGATGGTCTAAGTTATCGTCTTGATGTTTGGGACTGATCTGGTCGAAGGTATAGTCTTGATATTTGGGACTGACCTGGTCGATGGTCTAAGTTATCGTCTTGATGTTTGGGACTGATCTGGTCGAAATTATAGTCTTGATATGGGGCGTACCTGGTCGAAATTACCGTCTAGATTTCTGAACATCTAAACGGGCCATAATTACCACAAACTACGTTCCTGGTTCATCAATCTCCTGGACAGAGCTTCCAGATCTCAATTTAAGTAGTTTACCTGGCTTAATCGTTTGGGCCTCGGCGGTAATGTTGTCCACAGTAAAGGAAAAAAAAATATTTTTATTTTGTATTCATTCTTTTGGCTAAGCCTTTCGTTGTTACTTTTATTCCCAGTATTGTTCATTCTTTCCTGAAAGAAATAACAATTATTGTTCTGGTTTTGTCAATACTGATTTTTGCACACAATACAAAATTTAAAATTTTTGAATTTTGCATTCATTAGTGTCTAATATATTTTGCCGTAAATAGTGGCATTTATTTGTCTAATTTAATGCATTAAATAATATGTTTTATTATTTTTCACCTGTAATGGATAGTATTTTGTTTATTATTGCCCCCTTCATTATGCCCCTCTCCTGCATTATGCCCCTCTCTACTGTTTATTGCACCCCCATAATGGAAATTATTCACTGTTATGAGTGAAATAATTATATCATTAGGGCCAGAGTTTCCGTGGTAGTTGAAATACATAATTATATTTCTAACAGTGAATATTGTTGCGTGAAATGATTCATATTATTTTAATTAATGTTTTTAATTATTGTGCTTCGTCTCGTTGTTTACGCTATTTATAGATGTTTACGCAATTTTGAAAGAGAGAGAGAGAGAGAGAGAGAGAGAGAGAGAGAGAGAGAGAGAGAGAGAGAGAGAGAGAGAGAGAGAGAGAGAGAGAGAGAGAGAGAAAGATGACACACTAACCCCTAATCTAGTGTTAATGAATAAACCTAAGAAAGCTTCGACGAATAAGCTTTGCCTCTCCAATTAGTTGGTTCAGTGTCTTGGAAGCTCATACACCGAAGTAGCAGTTCCTTGTCTTCCTCTTCAGTTCCCTCGTTCACTTTCCTGCCACAGTTAAGGGGACACTTATATCCATGTTTATGTCTCCATTACATCTTGCAAAGTAGCATCAACACCTACTCGTAGGTCTTCTCCTGTCTCCTGTTGTTAGTTGACGTGACATCTACTCTGTTCCTAAAATTTCCCTCTCTTTTATAGCAATCCAAGTTGGCCTCGAAGATATTTGTCAGTGTTATTACATATGCGGGATTAATTTGATGCTGCATTCTACATCGCTGGTCTCGCGTTTGTAATGTAGATTCTGAATCATTTGTTTTTAATCTTATATTCAAGATGTTTGCCCACCCTGATGACATGGACTTTCTAGTGTTTAATTCTTGGGTTAAACTTGATTCGAAGCCCAGATGTCTAGCTTCTGAAACCAAGGTTGTTTTGAAGTCGCGTCCAATATATTGGACGGATCTTGATATTTCCTGTCACATATTCTCATTCGTATGACTTAAGATTTACGTTGTCTGTTATTAAAGTCTGTTCAGGTCAAGTTCCTTCTCCAAGCCCTGTAGCAGTTTACAAGCTACCTTTGTTTATATATTTTCGTCACCAGATTCGTGTCATCGGCAGTGAGATATACGAGTCTATTTAATTGGGTAAATATATAAATATACTTCCGTGGGTAGAAATATGAATCTACTTCCTCGGGCAGGTCGTTGGCACTGATTGGTAATAGTATGAGTGCTTGCCTTTGTTCCTGTCTGTCTATTTCTATTTTTCTGTTTCTTTCTATTTTCCTGTTTCTTCCAATTTTGTTGCCTCTTTCTGTTTTTCTGTTTCTTTCTTTTTGTTTTGCCATTATCTCGCTACTTTTTTTACCAATCTTTATCTGTATCTGTTTCTGTATGAGTCCTCTCTCTCTCTCTCTTAGGGGGGTAGAAATAGCCTAAGCTACTCTATCCCTTTGAGATGTATTTATTGCTTATCTCAATAAACATACTTGAACTCTCTCTCTCTCTCTCTCTCTCTCTCTCTCTCTCTCCCCTTCACGCCATCTCTCTCATTCGTTCTAACTTTCTTTCACCCCTTCGATTTTCATTATTTTAGCTTTTCCGATATCGTTATTAAAATACATTAGTATTTCCTCCGAAATAAGCTTTTTTCCACTTTATTTGCTCTTACTATGATGAGTAATCGTTAGTATTTTGATATGGTAATATGTTCGTTGCCCTAGACAATTCGGCATACACTCAAAAGATGGCGTTAGCAGTCTCCTTAATGCTTAATGTCGACAGGAGAGACTTACCTTCACTGTTGTATTTGAGTTATGCAGGAAAATCAGGTCGTCTGGCTGAATTTTTCACAACTTGCCCTGTCATTAATGAAAAATTCTAGTGAGTCGTAGTTTGGCTTTGAACCTGTCAACAACGACGGAAAATTCCGAATTTTCCACGTAAAAAAATTATTGTTTGAGGTAGGTGGAGCTGGAAAAGTGGAGGATAGCGGGAGATAGGAAGGGGATGGAGGAGTGATGGTGGGCGGGAATAGAAAGTGGAGTAGTGACAAATGGAGAGAGAGAAAGAGGAATAGGACTATAGAGAATGACGAAGAAGAGATGGAAGGAAGGTGATATATGTACGAGGGGGAGGGAAGGTAATATATAGAGTAAGCGAGGCTAAAGGAAGCAAAATAAGAGTAGATAGAATAGACGAGAAAAGATGAAGTGGAGTCTAGGTGAGTAATGAAGTGTGTAATAATACTAATACCCATACCAAGCTCCTTAGGGCACACATACACACAAATACACACAGGCACACAGCTCACACAAAACAATCTGTTGCAGAGACGTCTCCTGACCTAATATCTATGCATAATTCAACAAGCTCTTGCTGCACAAGTCAGGACTCAAAATACCGTGAAATGTAACAAGATGTTTTGTATGTAACACAGTCACGTCTAGGAGGGTGTGGGGATTCTTGACTTGTTTTGTGCTTCACAATGGACCGTGTGTGTGTGTGTGTGTGTGTGTGTGTGTGTGTGTGTGTGTGTGTGTGTGTGTGTGTGTGTGTGTGTGTGTGTGTGTGTGAGTGTGTGTGAGTGTGTGTGTGTGTCCAGCTCTTGATCTCTTATGTTTCTCTCAAATCTGATGTGATAGGTGGGATTTTGTTGTCCACACACACACACACACACACACACACACACACACACACACACACACACACACACACACACACACACACACACGCACCTCATCTAAACTTTCCTAAGTGGACTTGCACCCAAAACAATTAATATTTACCTCGTGCATAAACTATTAAGGGGACACAAGAACAACGCTCCAATTAAAGCCCCCACCAAAAAACTAACAAAAAAGTACACATAGCTGTTTTCACAGCTTTTATGCGCCAGGATAATCTGATAATTGAATTCGCATCAGCTATTGACCCGGCAGACGAATTATCACGCTACATTATCTATTAATCTCCATCCTTGCTTAAAGGGGAGGGACCAATCTAGCTCCATTCCCAGTAACTTTATGGCTGAATGTAACACGTTCCAAAGCGCATTACTTTTTTGGGGTTATACAAAAGGCCTTGTTTACGTTCGGTAGCTTAATTACGCAGGTGTCACAATGTTAAAAAACTATATTTAACTGACTTTTTACTACTTTATTGCCCCTTTTTTCGTTATTATAGCTTTCTGCAAAATTTTCTTTAATGGTATTGCATTAGGAATTGATGGTGATTGAAGGAAGAACCTACGATAGGATGAGTCTTAGTTGCGAGCGAGAGGAATACAATGCATAATGAGAACCGTGGGATGTAGTGGGGCATAAAGGAGAATGAGAACAAGGGCCTGGAGGAATGAGGAAGATGGAAAGAGTTGATAATAAAGCGAATATGTAAATTTTGAGAGGTCGAGACTGAATGTTGAAGGGAGGTACTGAAAGAGCCTGACACAGTTGTTTCTGTGTTCATTTGACACGTCTATGACCTGACACGACCTGATACGTCTATGTCAGTGGTGTGATACGTCTATGTCAATGTTCTGACACGTCTATGCCTGTGTTCTGACACTTCTATGTCTGTGTTCTGACACTTCTATGTCTGTGTTCTGACACTTCTATATCTGTTTCATGCCACTACTCAGGCACTGCAATATCCCTCATAGCTTTTATCCCGGCGCTACAATATCTATGACGTGGATTTATCCAGACACTGCAATATCTGTGCCATAGTTCTACTGCAGATTTTCGTGAATTTCTAATAGTAGGATTACTTCTTTACCCTGGTTCATGTTCCATTATTTACCTTGTTACAAAGATTGTTTGATTATATATTCATAAGAAATTTATAATGTGTAAGGATTTATTTACGAATTTACCAGATTGAGCGATGGTTTATTATGGATTGATATCATTTGTAACACGGATTAATAATTGGTTGTTATGATTGATCTTACATGTATCAAGGATTTATCAGTGGTTTATCATGCAGTAATCCTACATACATCATGGATTTTAGCTATGATTGACTGTTACTTCATCAAGGATTTATCATAGATTAATCGTGAACTAATCATGGATTAATCGTGAACATATTATAACCTTCCCTTTCATATATTTATGAAGACACTTCCTTCTTCTAATTTCAATTTATTCTGCCCCTTTCCTCATTCAGAGTTGTTCTACCCCCAACCCCTAATTCTGACTAAATCTACCCTCATAACAAAACAATCTACCATCATAACCAAATAATCTACCCTCTTAACAAAACAATCTACCCTCTTAACAAAACAATCTACTCTCATAACAAAACAATCTACCCTCTTAACAAAACAATCTACCCTCATAACAAAACAATCTACCCTCTTAACAAAACAATCTACCCTCTTAACAAAACAATCTACCCTCTTAACAAAACAATCTACCCACTTAACAAAACAATCTACCCTCTTAACAAAACAATCTACCCTCTTAACAAAACAATCTACTCTCTTCATTCCCGACTTGATATACGCGTTTATTCCGGTTCTATCTATTTGTTCCTCATTCCGACACCATTATCTACCCCCAATCTCATACAGACACCATTATCTACCCCAATCTCATTCAGATATCATCATTATCTGCCCCCCATTCTCATTCAGACATGAACATTATCTACATCATTCTCATTCAGACATCATTAATCTACGCAACTTTTTTCTCTTGCTTACCTAATATATGGCATCATTAGCTCAGATTTACCTAGCTTGTATTATTCTTGATTACACCAGCAGGTGAGGAACCATGCTCCCCTGATCCAGCAGACTCTGCCTCGTCCCCATGCGCACGGAGGCTTCGTTAATGGTGAGCTGAGTGAGTCCGCTAGTTCTTCTGAAGACCTTAAACCTACCCAGAGCCACGAGTCGTATAGAGGTGAGAGAGAGAGAGAGAGAGAGAGAGAGAGAGAGAGAGAGAGAGAGAGAGAGAGAGAGAGAGAGAGAGAGAGAGGGAGCGAGAGAGAGAGAAAATAGATAAAAACAGCCAGAAAGAGAGTGAGACAGAGGGAAACAGAAAATGAGAGAGAGAGAGAGAGAGAGAGAGAGAGAGAGAGAGAGAGAGAGAGAGAGAGAGAGAGAGAGAGAGAGAGAGAGAGAGAGAGAGAGCGAGAGAGAGAGAAAATAGATAAAGACAGTCAGAAAGAGAGTGAGACAGAGGGAAACAGAAAATGAGAGAGTGAGAGAGAGAGAGAGAGAGAGAGAGAGAGAGAGAGAGAGAGAGAGAGAGAGAGAGAGAGAGAGAGCCATGCAGAAAGAGAACTTATCTCGGAAATCTTTGTATGTTAATAGTGTATGTCCCTCACCTAGTTGTGCTTGCGGGGGTTGAGCTTTGGCTCTTTGGTCCCGCTTCTCAGCAGCCAATCTACTGGTGTACAGATTATCTATATATACATCATATCTACATTATTATAATCTCTCTCTCTCACACACACACACACATCTACATTATATCTACATGTGTGTGTATGTATATATGCGCATGCGCGAGAACACAAAGATTAGAGATATCGTCGACATCCAGAACAAAAGCTCGCTTCTTAGGCCGTAATTAAGCTTGTGTTATTTTGATGTAATGAATGTATTTAGCTCTAGTAATATGTTATTTATTATGAGGGAGAAGTGTTCCTTATGAGTAGTTGTGAGTATTGAATTTAAAGAATATTCAGCAGGGTTAAGTGAGTATGGTGAGGCATATCATTAAATGGGATTGTGAGTTGTGAGGTAGCAGGTGGGTAAGTGAATAACTAGGTAACGAGATGGGTAAGTGAATAGAGTAGCAGGAAAGTGAGTAAATGAATGAATAGTAGAGCGATTAGCGAGGTAACGAGGTGGGGTAAGTGATTAGTAGTAATAGTAGTAGAGGTAGTAGCTGTAGTAGCATAAGTAGCAATAACAGTAGCAGTATCAGCATCAATTTCAATACCAGGAACAGTAACTATAGCAACAGTAGCGATAGTAGGGAATTACAATCAAAAGAAAAATTCAAAAATGTCTCTTTTTTTTGCGTCAGAAGCGACCAGTCTGCACCGCACGACCAGCGAACCCTACTACAACTTTGACGACGACGACTCTGATAGTCCCGGGCAGCAGCACCTGCTGATGCTGCAGCAGCAGGCGAAGCAGCAGGAACAGTTCTTGCAGCAGCAGCAGCAACAACAGCAGCTAAGGGGAAACCGCGCGAGATTGCCTCCGGTAAGAACGCCGTCGTACGATAACGCGTACGATACCTCCTCGCTGGTGTGTTTCAGTACGCACTCCTTGCGGGGTCGATCGCATCACACGCGACACGCGACGACTACTTCCGTAGCCGCGGCGATCGCCGCGGCCCGCAAGAACGCCTCCGATAACGCCCTGGACCACGACACCTCGATCCTCCCTATCTTTCAGAAGCTCTTGAGCGAGCGACAGCGAGGTTTCGACGGCAGCGCCAGAAACTTCACCATGTCCTCTTGTCCTAATATTACTATCAAGTGTGATATTGTTGAATATCTATGATCCGGCGGTATTCACCACCACTACCACCACCACTACCACCACAACCACTACTACTTGTAGTAAGACCATAGAAACTATATGTTTATACTCTGGCGCAAATACCATTAATTCATCAAATGATACTACCACCATTTCCACGGCATTCCACGACAACCACAATTAATATATTTACTAACACTATTACCAACAGACCAACTTTCCCCCTTTCCCCTTCCCCTCACCCCAATCATTATCACCTCACCTATGTACCAATTATCACAACCTATTTTACAATGGACATTTGTGCTTAAATGAAAGTTTTCTAGTAGCTAAATACCGGTTTCTTGGTACCCCATATCTCTACACCTTCCCTACTCCCGCCCCCCAGTGTGTCTGTGTGTGTGTGTGTGTGTGCGTGTGCGTGTGTGCGCGTGTGTGTGTGTGGAGTGTGGCATAGGTGCATACATCATCCTGGAGAGCTTTAATCGGAAAAGATGACAGAGAAGTACTGTACTTCAGTGATGATAAATCCTGTACTTCAGTGATGATAAATCCCCCAATAAGGAGAATATATCCCCCAGTGAGACAGTGAGCAGTGATGTTTTAGTCAGTGTAAATATTGCATTTGTAATAGATTTCTGTAGTAGAGAAATTCTATACTGTTAGCCCAGATACGACATAGATATTTTCATACAACGTGCTCACTTGAAGTTCTAAAACACTTCTTCTTTTAATGGTTTCTGATAGTTGTATTGTTGGCTATTTTTCGATACCCCGTGATATTATGGTGCTGTGTGGTCACCAGTTCGTATCCCTATATACAGACGATCCGTTACTTTAGTCCGCGAATCAAAATATCTCTGGTCAATATTCACTGTGATTTGTAACTTCCTACAGATATCACCCCCCAATCTCTCCGTTCTCTCTCTCTCTCTCTCTTATCTCTCTCTCTCTCTCTCTCTCTCTATCTCTCCCTCTCTCTCTCTCTTTCTCTCACCCGTTTTACACTATGTCATTGTGCTGGGAGATCTCCTTCTCCTCCTCTTCTTCAGAATCAACTTCATTAATCATTAACGTCGTCGACGTTTGCGAGAAAATCCACCATCGTTGTTTTTATTTAACATCACGCTTAAAGAGGGAAAAGGCAAAACAAGAAAAGCTCTTGTGGCTTGTGTTTTAGCAAGACCACAGAGCTGGAGAGCTGGTTCCCTCTTTCAACACTATTTCTCTTTTTGTTATAGAGGCGTTTCCTCACTTGGCACCATTATTGCGTTCTTTTTTAGACCATCAAAATCACATCAAGTCATCCATTTATTATGATTTTTGTTAATTTTCTAGCACATGGACCCCTCCTACGGATTTCTCTCAGCACTGACCACACCCATGAAATAAAAAAAATTCCTTGAATACACTGCCTGTTCCCCGCCCCATTTTCCCATACCCATTCCCCTCCCCCCCTCATTGGCTGTTCTTCCGGAGCCACGCCCATCTGGCTCACCAATTACCTGCCGCACTGGTGAAGCCCCACTCAATATTTGGATTCGGTTAGCCAATTGCGTGCAGTTCAGGTGGCCCCCTTACGGAAACATGAGCCCTTTCTGGGAGGTTGGTTGCGGTAGGGAAGCAAGGGGAGATGCTCTTAACCATCATATGTTTCCAAAGTGGAAAATATAATTCTCATTCACGGAAATGAATTAATCTATCGTGTCTATTCACAGTTGGTTCTTGGCCAAAAATAATTGAAATAGATTGGCATAATTACATGTTTGCACGTCCCCTTGCGGCCTGATATCGCCGCCAGGTGGGCTCGGTCAGAACGTCTAGACGAACAGACATTTTAAGATAATTAAAACGCCCCCAAAAAATGTTTAATCTTGAGGGAGACTCCATCAATGTTTCCTAGGAACCTGTGTCAGAGGAAGCTGACGAAAATAAATCCAGAGCGTTACCATCCTGACAAGAAATATATGTATATGTATCACCTGTATACATAAGTACGCACACACATACATATACATATATATTTTCCCCTCAAGAATTACATCTAGAGGTGGAGAGATGCCCATTTCCCCCTCGCCTGTGAGCGTACAGGGGCGGGCAGGACCTATTTGTGGGTCTTTGTGTTTTCCTTTGGGTTACGACGAAAAAAAACGCTTATTTACTTCAACCTGATGTGTGAGTGATAAAATAAAGATGGTTTGTTCGACTGTGTTTTATTTCGGACCTCCAGTCAACCTTTTCTCTAAGTTTTATTTCAGGTCCCCTCCCCAAATGCCTCCTTGTACCTTATTTCAGATCTTTTACATCTCGTGTTTTATTTAGGACCTCCTGCCTCTTCTTCATGGTACATTTCAGACCCTTTATAAAATCAAAGGTAGGATGAGGTAGGGGATGAGGTGTACGTACTATATAGCACTTGAAAATGACCTGAGGGGCAAGGAATTGGGACACGAGGACGGAGTGGAGAAGCAGTGTCCATGAATCCACACTGCAAGAATCGAAACCTAAAAGTTTGGTGCTACTTCTATCATCAGTCTCTTCTGGTATGGTCTTGAGTCAGTCCGTTATCCTAAGGTTTCCCAATGTCAAGAAACTGTCGTACTAACTAGCCCTTATTCTAACCTACCATTGGATCCAAAATAGAAAAGTGCGATGTTCTATTAGTACAGGTTGGTTAGGTTGGAAAGAGGTAGTTGTAATTCAATCGGAAGTTAATGCGTTCTGTTTGTTCCTGGTTAGGTTCATAACCGGTGAGTTTGATAGATCCATTGACGGGCCGTGAGATCTTGAAAGTACCGCCATTGAGGGCTATTTGGCTATTAACATTTTGATAGTTTTTCATTCTGTCTCCTCAAAGTGTCTGTCTGTTTCTAAGGTTTGGTGAGTCCGTGGCGTAGTCCGTTGTCGGTGGTTTTGATCCCACAGCCTGAGGTTGGCTCTGGAGTCGATGAGTTGTGGTAGAAGCTGCTTCAGTCACGTCGGTGGTGGTGGTGGTGGTAGTGGTGGTCGGAGAGATCACGTCTGCCAGCGCCTCTGCTGAAACAATGATGGTGGTAGCTTTTGGTGCTGGATTGGAGGATGCTGCTGTCTGTTCAGCCTGGGTCTTTGGTGGAGAAGAAGTTCGAGTTGAGATCGACCTTGTGGAAGTCCCATGTGTGGAAGGGAATGTAGTGAGACTTGCGTCAGGAGCTATGATGAGGTCCAGGCCATTCAGTTCCTCGACGAATCGGTGGTTGTCTGGTCCGGCAAGCCTCTCCGCTAGTGGTATAAGACCAGGGATAATGCCAGCCCGTGATGCAAGGGTGTTGGTTGGGCCTTGGGTCCCCATTGTGAAGGCTAGGTTGAGTGATAGGAAGAACCATTGTTTGGTAGTTCTGGGAAGTCTTCTGGCTGGTTGGTGGGAGCTGTGGCGGAATTAGAAGGGTTGGCTGTTTCACAAGGTGCAAATTGATCTTAAATACTCATTTGGATGAGGTAAAGTTGTGTGTGGGGGGCTGGGTAAGGTGAAGTAATCAATCATAAGGTAATAAGGGTATAATGGAGATGGATGCCAACCAGAAATTGGGTAAAGCGGCGAGAGCTCGGAGGAGATGTCGCTATCCAGTGCTGTATGGTGAGTTCTGGGTCTGAGCGCAGGCAAGGTGCTGTATGGTGAGTTCTGGGTCTGAGCGCAGGCAAGGTGCTGTATGGTGAGTTCAGGGTCTGAGCGCAGGCAAGGTATCGAAGTCATTACTCTCTATATCTAAGGTGGGGCCTATGTTTTTCTTTTAAAGAGCATAGCTTTAGATTTTTACAGTCTACTTCGGTCAGTTGTGGATGCCAGGATTGTTACATTTGCTACTAGCATGTATATAAATATATATATAATTATATCCATGCATATATACCATCAAGTATACATATAAACATTCATGTATTTATGTATTTTAAAAATTAAACTCCGCCCATTTATCAGCTACTCTCACAAACAAAATCTCAATGTAAACCTCCAACTGCTTTTAATCCTTTATTTATCCAGGCTTAAACTCTCGCTATGAACTTCACAAGAATCATTAAGAAAAAAAAAGATACTTTGATTGTCTCCAAACAAAGTATCATATGTATATTTATTTATGTATTTGCAACTCATCAATTATCTTTATTTAATTTATCTCTGCATTTGCACGGCTTACGTCAAGGATTAGAAGATTGGAAAGCAATTTGCGTGAATCTAGAAATGAGATCAGGAGCCGAAGTATCCATTTTCCTGTTTTAGCAGTGACGTCCTGTTAGACAGGGGGAGAAAATGGAAAGGAATTGAGAGGGAGAAGTAGATGGAAAAGGAGGAGAAAAGAAGGATAGAAAGGAAAGGAGAAAAAATATGGAGGAGGAAAGCATTGAGGATGAGAAATAGGAAGAAAGAAGGAAGGAAGGAATTATCAGAGGGGAAAGAGCCAAGCCATTACGACTATATAGCCCTTGGAAGGGGGTCAGGTTAAGGATTTGGGATGCGACTGGAGGAAAGAATGGTGCCCAACCACTTGTGGACGGTCATGCATTGAACGCCGACCTGCGTGAAGCGAGACCGTCGCTCTACCGTCCAGCCCAAATGGTTAGGAATAAAGAAGAGAAAACTCCAAAAATAGTATTAAAAGATAACGACAGACAGATAGGCAGACACACAAATGTACCTACAAATACATAGGTACACACACAGATAGACGAAGATATAGACAGAGAAAGACAGACATGATAGATAAAGATATAGACAGAGAAAGACAGACATGATAGACAAAGATATAGACAGAGAAAGACAGACATGATAGACAAAGATATAGACAGAGAAAGACAGACATGATAGACAAAGATATAGACAGAGAAAGACAGACATGATAGACAAAGATATAGACAGAGAAAGACAGACATGATAGACAGACAGACTGCAAGAACTACAAAGATTCAGAGCCACAATAGGAAGTGTTTTGCCCAGCAGTGTTGCAATGGTGTGCAACCCATTAGCAACATATAATGGGAAGTATTCTCCAAAAATATACATCACCTTACCTATATTATGATATATATATATATATATATATATATATATATATATATATATATATATATATATATATATATATATATATATATATATACAATCTGTGTGTGTGTGTGTGTGTGTGTGTGTGTGTGTGTGTACTCACCTAATTGTACTCACCTAATTGTGCTTGCGGGGGTTGAGCTCTGGCTCTTTGGTCCCGCCTCTCAACCGTCAATCAACTGGTGTACAGATTCCTGAGCCTATTGGGCTCTATCATTGGGCTCTATCATGTGTGTGTGTGTGTGTGTGTGTGTGTGTGTGTGTGTGTGTGTGTGTGTGTGTGTGTGTGTGTGTGTGTTTTGACAGAGGAGAAAGAGGTAACGAAAAATAGAGAATGAGAAAGAGAAGGTGGAAGAGAGAGGGAAAGAAAAAAAAACACTTATTGAGGAAGCAAAATCAACCTACAAACAGAAAAACGCTCAAGAGATTTTAATCACGCAGAACTGAGAGACACTGAGACGAGATAAACTCAACCAGAGAGACTAAGAGGGCAACAGACAGACAGACAGACAGATAGCCAGCCCAGGCGTCAACTGACATGCATACAAGACAACCCGATCTTAAAGAAATAGTCAAAGACAGCTCTCTCTCTCTCTCTCTCTCTCTCTCTCTCTCTCTCTCTCTCTCTCTCTCTCTCTCTCTCTCTCTCTCTCTCTCTCTCTTGCAACATTGCACGAGACGTTAAGGCAAACACGACATAATTGCCTCGTTGAGCCTGCAATAAGCCCTGGAGACAGAACAGGTTAGGCCAAGCGGAAAAGGACCTTGTATCAGTTAGCTACGCAAGACGCAATTGCTGCCAGTGATTTATAGCCGCCAGAGAGAGAGAGAGAGAGAGAGAGAGAGAGAGAGAGAGAGAGAGAGAGAGAGAGAGAGAGAGAGAGAGAGAGAGAGAGAGAGAGAGAGAGAGAAAACAAGGAAAGAGGGAGGGAAGACCATGATGGAAGGACAAGAATAGACAGAAAATTTGCATTAGCTTTGACAGTGACACAGAGAAAGTGATAGCCTGATAGCTCAGCAACCAGACAGTCATCACTCATAAATACCTCACAAACTGTCGTTCTCTGAAACCCAGAAAAATATCAATATTACAGATTATGGAAAGGAAATGTGGGAGATGTTGATGCAATAATGTGGGGAGAAGGAGGCTATGATACAGTGGGAGAGGGAGTGATTAGCTTGTTGGACAATATATGGGAATATGGGAGAGTAAAGTAACCGAAGGGAGAAGGAATATGTAATAACCAGTTGGTGATTCATCACTAACTGCAAGAATCGGCAAAGAAACTCACCAGAGTATTGACACATCATTTCGGACCCGTGGCCAAGGACGGGAAGCAGCCAGTGTTTGGTTAAACTCTTGAGGCTAGATTCTCCTTGAATCATTTAAGTCATAATTAACCACATAGCCGAAGAAACCTGTTTTAAAAAGCAGCCCTCTTGAGAGGTTTTAAGACGGCAGATACACTTGGCGTCTCTGAGTCTTACACAATTCAATATGCTTCTCCACGGTGCATGAAGTGTGAGGCCCCACACACACTTCAAGCCAACATAATTAAATGAAGAATGCCTGCAGAAGACTCGCCCTGGCGTACCACGGGTCAGCCGCGTGTCGGAATCTACTTTGAACACTATTTACATTTTCTATTAAAAAATATGAGAAATAGACCTTTCTCGATACAGATCTATTTTCTATATTAATAGATCCTTCAAGAACCATCGCTACTTGATGACAGCAGTGAGCAAACAGCTCCTCTCTCTCCACACTGTCAATACTGGCAATCATGGGAAAAAACTGCAACAATACTAAATTATTTGTATTTGTTAAGCCCTGTGTTCTTAACATCTCATTTACCCAAATTGTCATGCAAGTGCTCATTTAATTTCAGGGCTTGGGTCTATTGCCTTCAAGCAAAGATCAACCAAGCAACGAGGTGTTGTCCTTCTGTCAATACCTGCCAAGGAGAATACCAAATAGTGTGATGAATGTGTGGGGGAAGATATGGAATGATGGAAAGGATATAAGAAAGTTTTTATATATAGACAAGACAAGTAAAGGAGAGACTAGATTGATAGGGCAGTGAGATAAAGGAAAAAAAAAGAGATGAAAGATTGATAGAAGGTAT